TGCAGCCACGGTAGACAACTGGCCATCTAGGGAACACTGCTCCCTCTTTCCCATCTCTGTGGCTTTGCAAGACCAAAAATCTCAGACTGTTGTTCTTTCTCATATTTTCCTGACCAAAATCTTACATATCCATAAAGGCCTAGCTCAAATACCATGATCTTCATGAAACCTTTCCAGATAAAATCAGTCAGAAGTAGTTTCCCCTCTGAGTTCCCATAGTCTGTGCCTAAATTATAGCACTTAGTACAGGTAAGTTCGAAGTACTGTGAGTTGTAAATCATCTCTCTCTTTTCAGATACTGAGCTCTCTCTTTGCCTAATAGTAATGGTATGTATATGTGGTGGGCAAGGCTGGAGTAGGGGGAGGAATGTGGAAGGAGAGACAGTTGGAAGGGCAGAAGGAATTAGATCCCAATCATAGGACTTGTGTACTTGCTCTCAGCTTGTCTACATTATCCTAAATGGTTATCTTAATTACAGCTCAGAAAATTATTTCCTCTAGTTAGTTGGCAAAGACCAATCCATTGACTGGCACTTATCAATGGGTAAGTCATCACTGGCTCATACTAAAATGAGAAAGATAAGGTCTGTGTAGTGAGTGTTTCATAAAACTGGACTTATTTAGTGACTTCTCTTTATTCTGATTTTATATCCTTCCTCTTTGCTATCTTTCATAAAATGATAGTGATGTTAGACAGTATAATTTTCATATGTCTTTGTCTAAAATAATTAAAAAGTTGGAAACCCTATTTTGGTCCTGAAATTTAAAAAACAATCATTTGTCTATGAAATTGGAAAATATTGGGATTGCTGTTGCCTGGGTTTATGGGAGAGGGCCTAGAAGCAATGAAATCCCAGTAGCAATGAGCACACCTAGGTCTTGATTTCTAATACCATTCTAAAAAAAAAGGAGGCTACGACTCTCGGGAGAAATGGCTGATTCTGAGACTGGGGCAGGAAATGTATTATAAGATGAGTTTGGATCATCAGAAAAGTAAAGAAGTGCCCAAGAAAAACACAATAATGGGGGTAGGTCAAAGAGACATGGGAACAAACTGAAAAAGTTCCCAGTGGCCAAAGCTGGGACAATTTGAGCAAAAAATAAATTAAACAGTATCGGATTATAACCTAAAGTAGAAAATAAATGTTCATCAGTCCATACTCATGTAAATAAATGATTGAATAAATTAATGAGGGAGAATAGATGAATCTCCTGTGCAGGAGAATTCCAAATAACTTATGTAGATATTCTGCTTTCAAGGAGGCAGAGCGTAATTGCCCTCTATTTAAGTATGGGCTGTGCATAGTGACTTCTTTCCAAAGAGTACAGTGTGGAAAGAGGACAAAAGAGTAACTTTACATTGGAGAAACCTGACGAACACGACCTCAGCCAGGTGCTCAAGGTTAACATCAACAGTGATAGGTCATGTTGATAATATGTACCCTTGATGTGCTGTGAGGAAAATGGCACTTCACCTCTGTCTGTCTGTCTCCCCTCCTCCAGGGTAATCATAAGAAAACATCAGAGAAATCCCAACTGAGGGACATTCCGCACAATACTTGACCAGTACTTCTCACAATTGAGAAGGTTATCAAGAACAAAGAAAGTCCGAGAAACCATCACAGCCACGAGGAGCCTAAGGAGACATGACGACTACATGTAATATGGTATCTTGGATGGAATCCTGGAACAGAAATAAAGATATTAGGTAAAAACTAAGGAAATCAGAATCAAGTATGAATTTTAGTTAACAATAATGTATCAATACTGGTTCATTAATTGTGAAAAAGTTACCTTACTAATATAAGATGTTAATAGTAGGGGAAACAGTGTGGGGTATATGGGAACTCAGTACTAGCTTCACATTTTCTTTTTGTAAATTTAAAACTATTCTAAAATACGTTTGTTTTTTAAAAGCAAATGGCCTTCTAGAAACTAAATGGGTACATCTTAAATCACATCAGCTCTATTTGGAAATTTGGGCATTTCCTGGGGAACATACATAAAGGAGAATGCTCCCAGCTGATTTTAGTATTATTAAAATGCTCTTAGGTCAACCTTGACCTTACATATAGACTATTATAGGGTAAACAATTAAATTTTATTTACATTTAACTAGGAGGTTGAACTGATGAATAATTGCTTCTCTTCCTGTTTGGAGACTTAAACCATTTCTTTTTTGGTGTGTAAGTGACTCTCCCATTTCTTAGTAAGAACTTATTTACTTGCATATTATTATTATCATCCTTAGAAAACTGTTCTTCCCTAGAGCAATTGATTTTGCTCTGGGCACTCGCTAAAGGTCTAGAGAAAAACAATAAAATGTAGGATTCTTTGGTCTGGAAATCAACATGATTTAATTTTGTTCAAGCCAATGGACATTTATAAACTCTCACTATGCGCAAGCATGAGCTGGGCCTCAAGTCACCTGCTTTACTCCAGCTTTCTACCCTTAGCAATAGCTTGTCTTTATTGGACTCATGTTGGCATGTTAGTATTTGATAGTTGGCTTGGCCTTTATAAAAAGCATGCAGCTTTACAGGAGACTCCTTCTCAAGACAGAGTACTTTTGCCCAAAGGAATGGATCTATAGTGTTTGAGCCGGGGAGGCGGGCATGAAGAAGAGGCGTTTCTGGGCAGGGAGCTCCTTTGCACCACCTGGAAATGTAATCATATGGCTGTCTACCTGCCTCGTTTGAAGACTGGCTTTGGTAGGCTAGATTATAGGTCTGGACCGGGGTCGTCCCTCATATTCTTCCAATTTCTCTTTGTTCAATGGAACGTAAAGAGAATTTGAGTAGGAAGAAGGAGACTGCTAGGCCAGACTCCACTTCTAGCTATCTGTGACACTGGACTTTATTTTTTTCACTCTGTGAAAAAAGAGTTTAGAGGAGCCTATCTTGCATCCTTCTGAGCCTTGTATGAGCTGGACCAGGTAAGTGTTTGCTGGGGTTGGTGTCTGCATCCATGAGGGAGCAGTTCTCAAGGTTTTTTAGTGGTTCCCTTTTCTCCTAGTTATTGCAAATGAATTTAAGAAAGATTCCCTGAAGTTGGGACAGGATCCTGAATTGTTTTTCTTACTTCACCACCGTTGTTTTTGGCAAGTAACTGATTTCAAGCTTGCACGTTGGAATAGTTTATGTCACTGTATTGTCACGTGCAAGAGAAGCACAGCAGTGAAGGGAAAGGAGTATGGGCTCTGCAGTCCTGACCTGGGATTAAATCCTACCTCTACCACTTAGCTAGACCTGTGACCACTGATAAGTGCTGTAGCTCCTCTAAAAATCCAATTTTCTAATTAATAAAAACTTCTCAGGGAAGATGTGGTGATTAAATAGGACAATATGTGAAAATGACTGTTGACTAGTAGGCCCTCGATAAAAGTTTGTTTCCTTCCTTCCTCCCTCCTTTCCTTCCTTCCTTCTTTTCTTCCATAATGACAGAAGTTACATATTTTCATCAGAATGTTTGCAATTGACATTTGGGCTATCAAGTGATTATATGTGGTCAGGTGGGGTTTTTCCCTTCCCCCTTCCTCCTCCTGGGTATGGCATATACCTGTCTAAATTAACAGAAGAAGATAGTATCCTAATATGTAGTAGATCCCCACAAGATGGGAGATCTAGTGTGGAAGATCTGATTATTTTTCAGCTAACCCACACAGAAGGAAGATCACTACTTAGGCTCTTCCCCCCTTTTTCTTCTTTGTTCCCTGAGAACCGGATGAGGCCGATAAAGTTTAAGGATTGACAAACCAGAGTTTCAAACTCATAGACCTCAGGGACTCGCAGGTTGTAAATGAGTGAAATGCACTGGGTGTGAAACAAAAGGTAACAGTATTACAAGATCCAAAGGAAATGGCACATTTACTTTGGCTTGAGGGTTCAAGAGAGAGTGGTGAGGACTGTGGTGAGGTGGAAAGAGCATAGCCCATTTAAAGGGGACAGCCACTACTTAGTAACAGATGATTATTGCTGTGAGGAAATATGGGTTCTCTATCTCCAGGTATTTTCATTTTTCAAGGGAACTCCAAAATATAAATATGTGAAATCTCTTGATTTTTAATCCTTGGCAATTAAACTAGATTTTAAGATAATACTCTGTGGACCAATCAAAAAAGACTATGCCAGCAGGATATGGCCTGTGGGCTGAGAGGATCATGGAGCCCGGGGTCACTGGTGAGGGAAAGAAGATATTAGCAGTCTAAGTGGAGGAAGACTAGAGAAAGGGAGAGAGAAAGCTAGAGAAACAGGACAAATGAGCTATCCTGAATCTCCAGCTCCCTGTAACCTCTGAAATGGATTAGAACGTAGGACTTGAATCCCAAGAAAAGGACTTCTTTATGTGTGTGTACTTGACCAACTTAAAACAAGACCGTCTGAAGCAAGAACAGCCCACATGTACTATTGGGTTTACATATGATTGTATTTCAACAACTGAAGTTGTCTCTCTTACTTTTGCAAACAATGAATTACTTAAATTTTGCATGAAAGGTATAATGCATCCATGTAAATAAGAGAGCAAAGAAGTTTTCTGAATGCTTTTATTTTTGGAAGACTAATATTTCTGCTCTTCTCAGGCTCTTCTTGCTGGAAAAAGGATACCTGGTGATTCATTTGTTAATGGCATTTAAAAAGTGTGCTTTGGTGGATAGAGGTAATAATGTACATTTTAGGTAGGTTAATAATAAATTAAGGTTATAATGGTTGCCGGATTAGAGAAAATAATGAATAGATTAGTCTCAGCAAAAAAAAAATTAGTTTTGGAAGTGGATAAGCTGGGGATATCAAAGCTGAAAAAAGTTAGCCTCGCACAACATTCTATTATATGCAATTGTTTGATGGATAATATTCAATTACAGAATGTAATACCTCAGACAGTGCCTGACATATAGAAGGTATTCATGAAATGTTTGTTAAATTTTATGCTTTTTAACACAGTAATTTTCCTCAGTAATAATTTCTGTAGCTCAGATAAAAATAGATAATTGTAAGAGATTATTTTTTTTGGTTTCTTGTCAAAGTATATTCTTCTAGAGAAAATAGCAGCAGCAGGAGAAGGAGAGTAAAGAAAGTGTGTGTGCGTTCTAAAAAGTGAGTCCAATGCGGATTATTCAGAGATGAATACTTTGACCCTGTCTGTCTTTATAGTCCTTACTGACAATATGCTGTCGGTATCCTCAGCCTCACTGTTTTTCTCTATTTATTTTGGCTTTACAGAGATTAGCTCTCAAGTCACGGGAATCTCCATGGCCTTCAGTTGCTAAACTTTTCTTTCCTTCTTTTGCTCTTGCCTGGCTCAGAAGGACATGCCAGGTGGTATAAGGGTTTCCTTTTCAGAGCTGAGGAAAGGATCTGGGCTGTGGAGTCAATAGAGAAAGCCATGGCCTCCGTGGTTTCTTGGCTTTCAACTCATCTTTTCTCAGTCAGCCTGGAGGCCTCTTTACAAACGTGTTTTGATTAGCTGTTTTAGATCCTTGTGCTTTGCCAAGTTCCTTTCTCCCACTGCGATATTATTAGTACATAACCAGGCTAGAAATGCTGTGGGAAGCTTTGGAGGTAGGAGAATAGGATCCAGAAAGAATTGCAGTAAGAAGAAAGCAATTTCCTTTGGTGAGCTGCATAGTCCAAGGGTAGCCCTGAGCTGATTCCAGTTAGGAACCAAGGGTAGACTTTCTTGTTTGGTTCTTTGGCCCTTTTAGTTTCCCCATCTGGGGCCAGGATATGTATCAGGAAAGAAATCAGCCTCAGCTGTGTCCTCTCATTTCTTTCTCAGCTAAACTTCAGCTTCCAGGCATCGCACTGTAGTTTTGGGTGGACTCTTGGGCTCTTCTGGCTTGTTATCAGTTTTCTTTGCTTCTTCATTAGGGTTGCTATCATTGGCCTTCTCCTCTTTCACTACTTTAGTTTCAATCATTTCCTTCTGCTGATTCTTGTTTGTAAAAGGGAAGGTCTTCACATACCTGTAGGCATAAACATAAAATTCAAGTGAGAGACTCCTATGTAACACAGATAACAATAGATAACGCTTTGTCCGCAATGGCCCATGTTGGCACAGTACACTGGGTACCTCTATTTCAGAGAGATGCTAACACATGCACTCTCAAATACATTAGCACATCCCCACCTTAATGGATTCATTTAGATGGGACAGTAAGTTCACAGAAGAAACTTTAGGCTGACTTCACAACCCTCCCAGCAAACACAAAGAATTGAAAATCAAATAAAACATATACATTTCAGTCTTTTCTTTTTCCTTGTTCTTTTCAAAGGGACAACCATTGACCTGTATCTAAAGGCTGGATGACATGCGTGTGCTGAAATAGTAGGAAAGATTGGGTGGTAGGGAGGAGAGATGGGATGAGGGAGAAAATTTACAGTATAAGAGGACTGCCATTTCCATTTTGACCAAGAAAATGCTAACAACAACCTTGGAAAAACAAAGATAGGGATGTGACAAAGATTACAGGACTAATGATATGCCAACAACCCTACCTTTTGATGTAGCAAACCGCGAGAGCAGCTGCAGCAGCAAAGAAGACGAGAGCAAGAATTAGCAGAGCCGTGGGAAGACCTGGAGGAAACAGAGACGTGCCTGGTTGGTCCTTCACATACACATTGTCGTGCACTGCTCTTCTAACAACTCATCTTCACAACATCAAGACAGCAGATAGTGCAGGAGAAAAGCCTCCTCTGTGACCATACAGAGGATGGGATGTTGGACCCTCATCTGCTTCTTTGCTTCTTGCCTCTAGAATCCTTGGCCTCTCATGCTCTCTCTATTCTCTAAGTTGCAATATGACAGATAGATTTCATTCCCTCTCTGTGGCCTTGAGGTGGTAAATTTGGAGCTAAGACCCTTACTTTTTTTTTTTTGGTGAGGAAGATGTGCCATGAGCTAACATCTGTCGCCAATCCTCCTCTTTTTGCTGAGGAAGACTGGCCCTGGGCTAACATCCGTGCCCATCTTCCTCTACTTTATATGTGGGACGCCTGCCACAGCATGGCTTGTTGAGTGGTGCAAATGTCCACGCCCGGGATCCAAACCTGCGAACCTTGGGCTGCCAAAGTGGAGCGCGTGAACTTAACCACTATGCCACCTGGCCGGCCTCAAGACCCCTACTTTTAAATAGGAAAACAAACTTTCTAAAACAAACTAATCATAGGCATTTAAGATACATATTTTAAAAAGAACTTCTACATATTAATAGATAGTAATTTATTTTTAAAGGCTTTGAGTTTTAAAAGAAGCTATTTTATACTCATAATTTTTAATCATTAAGGTTCTTTAGAGCCCTCAAATTCTAAGACTTTATGAAAGTTGAGTTTGCAATAAACCTTTATTTGTACTTGGCAGGTCCTGAGTGCCAAATCTGGAGACAGGCTAGTTTCTATGCATTATCTGTTACACACAAACACATGCATAATGCAGACACAGAAAGCTCTTACCTCCAAACCCAACAGCTTCATTCTTGAATGCTGGTTTATTTTTCATGTATGATTCAGTTTCCGTAGTTATGGTGCTAGTTTCCATAAAAGCTTCCGTTATGCAAATTAATTTTCTTTTCCTCTGAGTAGAAGTGGAAGCCAGAGCTGTAGTGGGAGCACGAGCAGGTGTAGTCAAGAAAGGTGCATCGGTGGATGATGCTGAGTATGTGCTGTCACTGACGGTCATTTCTCTTGTGTATGTTGCAGTTTGAGTGTTGAATATGGTATCTTTAGTGATGGTAATTTCTGGAATGCATGAGTTAATCCAAGTATCTGTCAGCGAAGGGAGAAATGAAATAACAAGTGAGTATTGCAACAGCCTCCTAACTGGTCTTCCTGCCTCTAGTCTTACTCCCCTCCAATCCCCTTATACTGCAGCTGGAATGGTCTTAAAAAAAATGCAAATCTAATCAGATGACTTCCTTCCTTAGAATCCTTCAGTGACTGCCTCAGCTGCCTGGCCTAGAAGGCCCTCCATGATCTGGCCCCTGCTGACATGACCCACCTCTTCTGGTCAGTCTTTCTCTTGTTCCTCCTGCCATATTGAAATTCCTTCAGTTCTTTGATATGCTTTCTCTCACATCCAAGCCTTTGACCACAATGTTTTCTTCACTCTTTGCCCCCTCTTTCTTTAGCTAACTCTTCCTTATCCTTCAGGTCTCAGAATGAATATCTCTTTCTTAGGCAGACTTGGGTCCCTGGGCATATATTCGTGTACCTCCTTATACTTCCCTTGTCACAGTTCTCATTACACTGCTCCCCACTGGACTGTGAGCTCCTTAGAAGCAGAAACTGTATCTGTCTTGGTCATCATGGTGTGTGTACTGTGCCTGGCTCACAGTATATGCTCAGTAAATATTTGATAAATAAAGGAAGGAAGGAAAAGTGAAAGGGAAGAAGGAGTAGATGGGGAGACCAAATACACACACATGACACCATTTTAGGACAAAGATCTACTAAAACCATATTTCTCTGTGCTCATCAAAAAAAAAAAATTAAAAAAGGGAAGAGGACAGGGGAGAGATGTAGGTTTGCTTTCCAATCTGTTGAATGTGGTAGAGAGGAAACTGATATTTATTAAATTTCTTGCTCTGAGTCAACCATGGAACTTCATTTAATAATTTTATCAAACTCTCGTTTATATAGGAGGAAACTAAAGTTCAGAGAAATTGAATGACTTGCCCAAAGTCACATGGCTAGTAAACGGCAGAGCCATGCAGTATATTATAATGTGCATCTGTTTTAAATTCCTAGTTATTTGCAGCAGTGGGTAGCATCAGTTGGAATGTTAGCTAGGAAAAAAAGTTATTCCATTCATTTTTGAAAATTAAATAAATTACCAATCAGGAACCTGGATACTACTGATAAAATATTTTTGACCACAGATGTATTCAGGCAGAATTTTATACTATTCATTTTACTTTGAAAAGACCTCTATTCAAATAGACATTATCCTTGACCTCTGCCCTGAACTTTTACTTACATCTCCCATTCTTGAGCACATGCTAAGTTCTTCCTTCAAAAAATGAACACTTTTGAATATCAGGGGGAAAAAAACCATACGAGCATAGTATACTGTGTTGGGAACTGAAAATACAGAGACAAATAAGGTATGGTTCCTGTTTCCAGGAGACAGAGGCATTTTGATAAGGGAAGGAGGAGATCACCGGGGATTCACAGAGGAGATGGCATTTGGTAGGGTATGGGGGATTAATGCATTCAGTCAACAAATATTTATTAAGCTCCAGCTCTGTGCCAGGCACTGTTCTAGGTACTAGGATATGGTGCAAACAAGACAAAGTCCCTGCTCGTAAAGGGCTTATAGGCTATTAGAAGGATAGAGATAAAAAAATAAATAAATAACCCAGAAATTTTGGAGGATGGTAAACGTTGAGAAGAAAGTGAAACAGGATAAGGGTTAAACTGGTAGGGTGGGGGTGGGAGACAGATACTCTGGATAGAGTGATAGAGTGATAAAAGAAAGTCTCTGTAGGGAAGTAATACTTAAGCTAAGACCTGAATGATGAAAAGTAGCCAGTCATTGACGATCTAGGGCAAAAGCAGTCCAAGTAAAGAGAACAGGATGTTCAGGAGCCTGAAGCTGAATGAACTCAGCATATTTGATGAATAAAAGGCCAGTATGGCTGGAACAGAGCAGCACTTCATCCAGTATGGAGGAGGGAAGAGAATATCCAAGTCAATAGGAATAGAATGATCCAAGAATGCAGAAGTTTAAAAGTGTAGTTACGTTAGAAAAATGACAAGGAGAGCAGTGTGGCTGGAGAAGGCTGCATACGTGATTGGGAGCATGAAAGACTGCAAGCAGGAGATGAGACTGGGAAGAGAGCTTGGGGCCAGAGTATCAAGATTCATAACTGTCATGTTAAACCATTTGGAATTTGTTCTGTAGGAGAGAGAATTTTCATCTGGGGTCCACAAACCTTCCAGGCGATATAGAAAAGTTCTCGTATATGCCCACTATGATGCCTTATTTGCAAAAGGCTTTATAGTTTACATCATATTCTCAGATAGGAAGTCATTCAAGGGCTGTGGAGCAGAGGAGTAACATAATTATCAGTGGAGGTGTGTGGAGGATGAAACGCAGAGAGGAGAGAGTACAATCCAGGAGCAAAGAAGGAGATTATTGCAATTTCACAGAAGCAGGGGAATCCAGAAGTATCTGGAATCCTAAAACTTAGATCTTAGATATTTTCTAGGGAAAAGTGATTCTCAGTCCTGGCTACAGATTAGAATCATCTGGGGACCTTTTAAAAAATATTGATGCCTGGGACCCACCAGGGCCTATGCTATTGAGGTGTGATCATCACCACGGAGGGTGCTACATGGAAGTAACATGGCTCTTTCCCTTATTGACTTGTGACCACAGCATGGTACACTCTGAGCATCAGTTACTTCTCCTGGGAAGTAAAAATGATACACTTGTGTCATTTTACTGGAGATTAAGGAGATGTAAATGTGCAGGGCCTAGCGTAGTGTGTGGGCATGTTAGATAAGATCTATAAGAATTAATTTCCTTTGCCTCTCTGTTCATTAAGTGTAGCCGAGAGGGCCACGGTGTGAGGGATCAACAGCAATCTGGTTCCATGATCCCTAACTGGTTGAGGACGCAATGCGTCTCACCTGGAAGTGTTAGGACCTGGCTCTCCTTCCCCTCCAACCTATACATATAATTTCTCTAGAATGTGCCAAGTGCTCTGATAGATATTAAACACAGAGTGCGGTTGGAGTTCAAGAGGAAATGTAGGGGTAAGGAGTATAGAAAGGCTTCCTGGACAAGTTGGGCTTGAGATTTGAATAAAGAGTAGGAGTTAGACAGGTGATGAGGAGGATGGGCATTGTGTAGAGGGAACAGCAGGAAGCAGGTGGTGCATGCAGAGCATATAAAGCACTTTGGTCTGATCCCCAAAGCTTGCGAAGATAACGGTAAGAAGGATAATTAGGGTAAGGTTGAGGGTCAGGGTTAGGGTTACTCTGATCCCCGGACCTCACAAGATAGCAATGAAAAAGGAAGTTACAAAAACAAAGAAACCTAGGGTAAGTTTAGGATTAGTGTTAGGACGAGGCTTAGGGTAACTTTGATCCTCACAAAGGTGACAACTGAGGCAGGTGAACCTAATTTATTTCAAAATGATAATATAACCACACAGAGGAGTGAATTCTTTCAGTCCCTTTCACACACAACTCTCTGACAGTACATCCTTAGAGAGATATCTTCTGAAGACTAAAAGAAATGCAAAGAAATCTCAAATTCCACTCAGTAGGTTTATTATTCCTAATAATGTTGGTTTTATAATTTTGAAACTATCATAGGATAAGAAACTATATTAATATTATTTATTGGGTACTAAGATTTTCCATATAAGAGAAAAAAGATAGTATAAAACAAAGTAAACTAAGTATAAAGACAAGGTAAACTAAGACAAAACTTGCATTGTTAAATTTGAGTTGGAAATATCTATACAAATTCGTAACTTTTAAATATATATGTATGTGTGTATATATGTATTTCCTAGCTGTCCACTAAAAAGGACAGAGAAGCAATGAAAACTCCAGTAGTAATGAGAACAACTTGCATCCAGATCTTGGTTTCTAATTAACATTCTCCATTGAAGAGAACCAGGGACCCTTGGAGAAATAAATGGCCGATTCCCTATCTGGGACAGAGAAAGTACTAAGTAAGCCTGGGACATGTTATTATACCAGAAAGCAAGGAATTTTTCAAATACTAGTGGGATAAAGGACACAAAAGTCAACTAGAAGGGGCTCCCGCTCACCAAATTGGAGAAAATGTGAGCATCAAAAGAATAAAAGAATAATAATTGTAAAATTGATTAGAATAAATAATAAGTAAATATGTAAATAAGTAAATATAAGAATAAGTAAAATCCCATGTGTCCATGGTAGTCTAGGGAGAAGGGAGAAGATGTGTGTGTCTGCGTGAGAGAGAGAGAGACAGAGAGATTCTTTTTTACCGAAGAATACCAGCTAATAACTTAATAAATGTAGAAGGAAGACTAAATTTAGAAAAATCACCATTTAGCAGCCCCACATATAATAACTGATTCCAGCAAGGATCATCAATGGCTGCTTAAACTACTAGGTAAAAGAAGGTTGGGGGTCAGAACATTTGCATGGTGCCAAGATATCCCATTATAGATTACCTACTCACTGCAAAGGGGAAAACATATCTTTATGAGTTCATTAGAGAGATCTGGCAGCCACCATCTTACTCAAATGGTCGAAGTTAGCATATTAACAGTGGGACATACTGACATTAAGTGTCTTTTGTTGGGATGTGATCCAAAGTACACGATATCATCTATGAAGTATTTTTGCCAAAAATATTGAACATGAGTCTAATCAAACCTCACCAGACTTTAAGTATACAGGCAATATAGGGGATGGAAGTACTAGTTCAAAGAAACCACGAAGAAATGCACAAATCCAAGTCCTCTTCCTCCAGCTCCCTTCTGTTTAGTCCAGAGGGCCGGGTATCATCCTTCACACTGACAGCTGGCAGGAAGGCCCGGCAGTTAAAAGGCCAGGCCATTTGACAGGCCTGGGCTAGCTATGAGATAAACAGGCATGTGAACCACCAATTCCCCAGCCAAAAGAGCTAGGTGGAAGAGGTGGAGGAGAGGAGGAAGATGGTAAGGAAAGTGTTGGAAGAAGCTTTGTGTCCCAGTCTCGACCCTGCCACTGACTACAGGGCTTTGAACAAACCAGACCTCCATTCTGAGCTACCGTCGTTTCATCCGTGAAGTGAGGGAAGTGGACAAAGCGTCTTTCAGGGCCCTTCCTAGGCCAAAGCCCCCTGGTTCAGAAAACTGCTTGGACCCCATGTTGCCTTTGGGTGACATAATGTTGCTGGTGCACATTTATCTCCTGATCTTAGAGAATGACTTTGGAATCTATCCTTGTGTGTGACCACTCAGCTGTGTGATCTTTGGAAGGTCAGATTTATGAGCATGTATGAAGAGTAATAAATCAGACAGAGGTTGTTATGACAAAGTGAGAACAAGTATTTAGTAAAAGAAAAACTTTCTGAGAAGTTTTTTAGGTAAAGCCCTTGGGCTAAGGCGGCCGAGGTCTCCAAGCAAGGTCAAAAGGAAGATTGCGTGACCCTAAGCCAATCAAGTCTACGTTCTAGCTTCAACTTCTTCCTTCATAAAATGGAGCTTGGGTCTAGTTCTTAACAATGTCAAATGCAGCATCTGAATTTCCTCTCCTATGAAGGAATGTGAGGTAACAAAAAGAGTTAGACCTGTGTTTGAATATTTATAGTAATGAGACCTTAGACACATGTACTTACATCCTCTGAGCTAAGTTTTTTCATCTGCAAAATGGGGATGATAAAGCATACCTCAGCGGGAGATTGTCCAGTGCACGGAGATAACTGAGGACATTGCTTTGTCCACAGTGGCTGTTTCCTCCCCTTCTTCCTGTTTATCTTATAAGATGGAGTGGGGAGCTGATGGAACCTCCTGGGATGTCCTCTCTCTATATTTCTCTAACTCTTTCCTCTGAGGGGCACGCTGCGACCTCTAGCCTGGTCACAGAGTCAGTCTTGGGAGGGTTAAATGACCATCACCATGACTGCTTCTGCTGCTGCTCAGGGTTACTCTTCTCAGACAGGTCATAGAGCTACAGAAACCCAGAGAAAACATGCCACGTGGAAAGGCTGCAGATTTGACTCACCAGATGAGTTGTGACAGTAGGCACTGGACTTTGCGCTGAGACTGTTTCTCCAGACCAGGACGCCCTTCCCATTCTTGCCACACTTGGGGTTCGGGAAAATCCGAGGGATGACCAAGAACTTATCTTCAACCCATCCGTAGCTGTAACAGAATACACGTTAGCTGAATGGATGCATTTATTGCTATTGCTGAACAAGAACACAGAGCCTAAAGAGCTCCAGCAGTGTTTGTGAATCCAGCTGTTTCTCACCTGCAAGTCTCAAAGCCAGAGTTCCATGCTGCTTCAATCTGGTCTCTGCTGGCCAAAGTTAGACCCAACAGCCTACAGGCCTCCTGGGCTTCTGAGAAATTCAGCTGCTCCTTTGCCTTTTTGTTCACAAGGGTGACGCCCACAATTCTGCATGGCCTTGAGATAGAAAGCTCTGCAAAGGAATCACAGAGGTCCTCAGTTTGCTGCTGTCCTTGTTCCCAGCCCTGAGGCTCTCCTTCCTAGCAGAGCATTATTGTCTTGATACAGCAATGAGGGCCTTGGGGCTGGGATTGAAGTTTAGAAATAACGGGACACAGGCCAGGCATTTCCCACAAGGACACCCTACTGGGTTAGGTGGGTGCTTGCTCTGGTCCAAGCTGTACCTCTCAGCACATCCGAGTCATCATACCCCATTGCTTTAAGGTGCCTTGTTCATTACATGGAGGCTTCGGCCACCAGTTCCTGCGGGGAGGTCTACATGATGCAGTTGCTGTAAACCTTCTTGGAGTCTATAAAATGAAGGGTCTGAGACTTTGAGAAATGGAATTCAGGGCTCTGGTTAATAGAATAGTTAGTAATACTCCAAACCAATGTGGGTTGGGGCACCACTATTTCTGAGATGGGCCGAAAAATGTTTCACATGGTGTAACAAGCTCACAGAATGTGAGCTTTCTCAGTCCCAGGTCTTCTCTGACCATTGGAGGGCAGGCTTACTCAGAAGTTCCTGGAGGAGCCGGGCAGTAAACCTTGCATGGCAGAGAAACTAAATAGAGGAAATAGCTTTAGAGTCAGACCTGGATTTGAGTCCAGTCTATGTCACCTGCTAGCTCTGTGACCTTAGGCTAGTTACTTCATCTCTTTGAGCCTCAGTTTCCTTATTTATAAAATTGAGGGAGTAACAATGTCTATTGTATATAGTAGTGAGAGTTAAATGAGTTAATTCAAATAAAAATGCTTAGCATGGTGCCTGCCACAAAGTAGGTGCTCAATAAATCATAAATAACGTTTTATCATTATGTTATCTTTAAAGCATTTTGGTTTTAGTCTGCTAATGATTGATGTCCCTGGGGAAGCTGAGGCAGTTGAATAGTTAAGATGTGAATAATATTTTACTCAAAAATCTAATGAATCTGAGAGTTCCTTTGCTCCCTTCCCTCTGGGTTCTGGGATTTATAGACTGTATGAAATTGCAAAGTTGCATTGCATTCAGGTATGTTATTCCTTTTGGGCTTCATCCATAAAAGGCCATAAAAAGGCATTTCAATCCCCCAAGTAATTGCTTGTACATGGATCTATGCACTGGATGTCCAGGCAAATGCTTTGACCACGTTCTAGGTTGGTATTTGAAAGAAGTTTCTTCTTGCAAACACAGAAGGAGTATATCTAAGTCCTCTATGTGACCTTGCTGTGCCCTGGAGCAGGGGGATGGGGGAAAGGATATGTGTAAATGATGAGGATGCCCTTGTTTGCTTCCAGACCTTGCTCTCACCAAAAGAGAGACCAGAGAGCCAGCACCCCAATATGAGTGTTTGTGACAAAACACCTCTTATGACTGTTATGTACTAACACCTATACCAGTACTGATATTAATACTAATATTAATTCCAACATTTATCATCTGTTGATGCGACTCTGTGCCAAACTCTCTCTCTTTTAATAGAAAATTGAGCCTCAGAGAGATTAAGTAACTTTCCCAAGTCTAAGGATATAGAACAACTAGGCGGCTGACTGCCTCCAATTATGACTGACTCTAAAACCCCAGTTCTTAACTGGGACTCTGTTCTGCTTCCCTGTGCTACGGGGAGAAGATGAACACAAACACACACACACGCACATGCACCCACACACAAAATTAGAGCTGAACTCTCAGGACACACCATTTGTCCTGGAATTTGGCTCATTTAGCCCATGAGTTTGCTATTGCTCAAAATTCTATGGCTGTTCCTTTGGGAATACCTGTAGTGAAGATTTATTAACTACACTATAAAGTTTTCTTGATACTTTCTCATCATATCTCATTTTTACTCTAAATATTATTATTATGAGTAATGACAAAACTCTTCTGGGCAATTGACCTCACTTAGAATATTTCTTCTATTGTTAATTAGCTGTGGGACCTTAGGCAAGTTAGCATTCTCATCTGTAAAATGGGGATGGTTATATTTTTGTCACAGAATTTTTGTCAGAATTAAATTAGATAACTTGTACCTAGTGGAGGCTGGGTCCATAGTAGGCAGTCAACAAACATTAATCAATTTTATGCTTTCCTATTTCATTTAAGGACAAAAATAGGGAGCCGAAATTCCAGGGGTACTCCAGTAACCCCTTCCTTAAGATTTCTTAGGAAACAACAGGCATAGTAGAAATAGTATACGCTTAGGAATCAGACAGAAGTGAATTCGAACCCAGGTTTCATTATATACCGCCTGTGTGACATTAGGCAAGTCACTTGGCCTCACCGAGCCTGGTTCTTCGTCTATAAAATGTCTTTTTGAGAATAAGTATATTTTACCTACATACTTAACTCTGTATCTCCACATAATAGGCCCTCAAAGGAGGTTCCCATCCTCATCCACTCACCTTCATCAGCTACCTTTTCCCCAATCATGGTTCTGAATAACTTTCGGTTGTTTCCAAAAATTTAATTTCCTTAGGAAATTTTTGCCATTATCGAAGATGGTCCAAAGAGTGTGATGAAATCAAAGAACAATTTCCAAAATTGTTGAGTAATGGCAGCATTTTGGGGAAAAGTGAATAGTTACCCCAGGGGGATTTCAAAGAGGACCAAGCTTATTTGAAAGCAGCAGTTCTGGTATTTGAAAAAAAGTCAATCATATAACTCTAAAGTCCCTTATTAAATTAAATACATCAATATATGAATCAACTCTGGGTGTCTGTTCCCGACATAGCCTATATCTCAGGGCATCTTTCAGCATAGAAGCATATAACTTTTCTTTTGAAGTGCTAAGATTTTTATTTGCCCAAAGCTGCAATGAGTGATTTGTGGTTACAATTTTTTGCCTGCAATGCAGAATGAAGTTACCATTTAGGCATCTCAAAAGCCCAGAAATCATTTCAAATCATTCCTTTGGTAGACAGCTGATGGCTAATTTTCAAACCTATATTTTTACAGATTTTTTTCAGTTAATTTATTATTTACTGCATATTAAAAACATATGCATTCCATGATAGTATAGTAAAATTGAAATTAAAATAATTAACTGGCACTTCTAAAAGCATAAAACAGGACAATATTCTGTGAAAGTTAGCTATTTTCCCCAGGCTTAGTGATTGCTTAAAATTTTCACAATCACGATTTGCTTCTTCAATGAAACACTTTTAAAAACAAATGATCTCTCCTCAATGTTTTGTTTCAAAATATTCTCATTAAAAATACCCCATAACCAAAAATAAAAGTCAAAATAACATAAAGGTAAATGTGAATCATTTTGGTGAAGTTGACCATATGGTGAAAATATTTCTGGCAGAGCAATACTATCAATTAGATCTTCTGTGGACACTGAGGGTTGCCCCCACTCCCAGCAATCCACAGTCAAGAACCAAGTAGGGTTAGGATGGTTTGTAAGATCTTGCCTTGTCTCAGGTTGGCAATCTGGTGATAAACTTACCTTCTACTCGGAGAGAGCCTTGGACCAGGAGCCTTGTGGTCCAGATGGCAGCAAGAAGCAACACCAGGCTGAAGCACTTGGCCATCGTGCCAACCCCTTCAGAGCCAGAGAAGCACCTCAGATGGCCACTGGCAGTAACAGAGGCAGACAATCACCAGTCTGGATGGAGACTTCTGGAAATATGTTGGGGCCCCCACTGCTCCACTTCATAACAGAGACATCCGGATTTCCCCACTTTCAAGCTTCTGACTTTGTCAAGGTCACTGGGGGAAATGAGTGACATCCCTTGAACGCCCAGGCTGTACTTTGTGGATGGCTTTCTGGAAAATTTAGCTCATGCTGACTCAGAAAACACACAAATGAGGAAGGCAGATAGCACAGTGTGAACTGCTGAAGATTTCCCTGATTCCCATATTCCCTGCCACCGCCCACCTCCCCCACCAGCTCGGTTCTCACACCGTTCATTGTTATTGTGTGTGGAGCCCATTCATTTATATACTCCTAGGAATGTCTTTGTCTCTAAAGGAGATTGAGCATGGATCGTGTTTTTTTTCGTCTCACAATCCGTGTTTCTTTTTCCAGCTGCATATCCTTGTGGTCTGTGGGGAGGATGATGCTGAGGCTCTTGAAAGCAAATGCCTATTTAAATACCAAGGGCAGAGTCTTCATGCCTCCCTTCGGGACTTCTTTTATGCATTTGACATTTCTACACCACTACAGGTGATTCCTTCTTCAAAGGAACTAGACACAGAAAAAAATTCATATTTACAAAACACAACTTGGGGGCAATTTATAAAATTGTTCATTTTACACTTTACAAAAGGATTTTTGACTGTACAAGAGGAATCACCACAGGGGTTCTTTATATAATAACTCTCTCTTTAAAAACTTCTCTTATGTTCTGGTAGACCAAACTTCAACTTAGACTTCCCTGTTCTCATTTGGTGAATGTGAGGTTTATCTGTACTCTGTATGAGAAGACTGCACTCTCTGTTTTCCCGGCTAGATTTTCAGTGGTTTGTTCTCCATGGTAATTGTGGAATTCTGGTTTGAGGGCAATGCCTTGAGCGAAGGTTTATGAATTTCCTCCAAACGAATGTCATTTATAGGAATAGTGTATGGATAACTAGTTCTTTTCTATACAAATGGTATCAGTCATGAGTTAGATATCTACAGAAAAAACCAATAATGAAAGGAGAATCTGCTCTACACAAACACAAGGGACTTCTAAGAGACCAGGCGGATAGCCCTTAAATAACTCCAATATCTAAATATCTTTAGAACTCCTTTCTTAGGCGAGCACAAGCCCCAGGCTATGGGTACCTCAGAAACATGTGACTCCTTCACCATGGAACCAGGTAGACAGGTAAGTGGGAATCACGTTCTCCTCCGTATTATCCTTAAAGCCTAGCATCATGCCTGAAAGAGAGCTAGCCGTCAAGCATTTGCTCAAGTGTTACAAAAAGAAAGAAGGAAGGAAACAGGAAGGGGAAGAAAATGAATTATGGAAGGCAAAGCTTTGGTTGGGAAAAATACCTCACAAGAAATGAGAAGACTGACCTAAATTTTGGAAACAAATTCCTAGCAGGGGAATTATTTTGTATGAGTTTTCTCGCAAATGGGTGTCATTTGTAGGAATAGATAAAGAGAGTCTGCATGACTGTGCTGGCGCTTAAAAATGAGTTTCTGGAAGAGGAACAATCTTGTTTCTTGGATATCCCTATTGAGAGAAGTTAGGCCACTACTGGAATGTGATTGAAAATGCTTGATGGTAACTTGCTGCCTCTCTTGTTAAGCGTGAATATCCTCAGTCTTAGCTTCTAGGCCTCTCACTCAAGATAGGTCTCTGAAGAATTCATTGCCAAGAGAGCTATAAAGAAAATATTACCAGATAATCTCTCTTCACCATTTTGACAAAAAGTGTTCAGGATATGGAAAAAGAACTAGCAGCACCATCCACTTCTTTTTGTTGTTGTTGAGAAAGATTTGCCCTGAGCTAAGATCTATTGGCAATCTTCCTCTTTTTGCTTGAGGAAAATTTGCCCTGCGGTAGCATCTGTGCCAATCTTCCTCTGTTTTGTATATGGGTTGTAGCCACGGCATGGCCACCGATGAGTGGTATAGGTCTGCCCCTGGAACCAAACCTGGGCGGCTGAAGCAGAGTGCACTGAACTTAACCACTAGGCCACGGGGCCAGCCCCCAGCACTGTCCACTTCTAAAATAACAGCTTATGCTGTAATCAAGGGGAACCAACAATTAAAGAAAAAAATTGTGGAATCAGAAGGGAAATTTGAAAAGTTAAATGAAAATGAAGAGAACAACAAGTTTCAAAGGAGAGCAGGAAATATGGACTCTCCAGGCTGGTTTTCTTGTTCCCTGGGTATGGAATACAGGAGTGAAAGTGATATTTAATCTGTTGTATGAAAATAAAAATTTAAATAGAATAGACATTTTGAAATGTGGCATGAAAGAAGGAAATATGGTACAACTAAGAGTCTTGGACTGAGGGTAATATCTAAATTTTAGTTTAAGTTCTAATACTAACTAGCTGTGTGACCTTGAACAAGTCATTTAACTTCTCTAGGCCTCGGTTTTATCATGTGTCAAGTAAGGGAGTTGAGTTATGTGAACTTAAAAATATTATAACAATATCATTCTATGGTACTGATATTACAGGGATAACTTGTTTTCTAAAATATGTAGATAGGCAAATGTATTAGTCAGCGTCGTGTAACTGCCATAACAAACAACTCCAACATCAGTGCCTTAACAAAATAACAGTTTATTTCTCTCATGTTACAATCCAATGGCTGACAATGGTGGTAGTGGTGGGGTGTGTGTGTGGGAGGTGGATTTTGCCACACATAGTTATTCAGAGACTGTGTCCCTCTTCCACCACCTAGTACCTCAGAACCCTCCCCAAGATCTACATTGAGCCAGCAACCAAGGGAAGAGAGTGTGGAGGATTGTGCTGGAGATTGTTTTAGGGGCCAGGCCTGGGAAGTGGCTATATCACTTCCAGCCTTGTCCCATTGGCCAGAACTTTGTCATGTGATCCCATCTAACTGCAAAGGAGTCTGGGAAATGTAATCTGGTTGTGTGCCTAGGAGTGAAAAAGGAAAATGATTTGGTAAACACACAGCAGTCTCTGCCACAGTTTAGCCTTCTGGTCACCCAATATGGGGCTCAATGTTCCTCCCACACATAGAATATAGTCACTGTGTTCTCACGGGAGACAATCCAAGGTCCCATCCAGCTCAAAGTCCATGACCTCTGAATTATTCTCAGTCTCCCCTATCAGGTCCAACTGTGGCGCTTTGTGGTCTGGTAACCTATGAACTAAAAAAGCTATATGCTGCCCCCCAAATGTAATGGTGAAGCAGGATCTGGATAACCAGAGAAAGGATAGGAATGGGAGACCCAGCAGTCACCCGGTCATAGTAGTTCTGGAATACCAATAAATAGAGCATATAAAGCCCACTCTATCAATTTTCTATTGCTGCATAACATATTACAGCAGACATAGCGACTTAAACAACACTCATTTATTGTCACAGTTCTGTAGGTCAGAAGTCGGGGCGGGCTCAACTGTGTCCTGTGCTCTGGGTCTCACGAGACTGAAATCAAGGTCCCGGCTGGGCTGGGCTCTCACCTGGAGGCTCTAGGGGAAGAATCCACTTCCATGCTCATTCAGGTTGTTGGCAGAATTCTTTTCTTTGGGGTTATAAGAATGAGGTCCCTGTTTCCTTGCTGGCTGTCAACTGGGGTCCATTCTCTGTTCTTGGAGGCTGCCTGCATTTCTTCTCACGCGGCCTGCTGCATTTTCAAAGCAGCAATGACATTTTGAGTCCTTCTCACATCTCTAATCTCTCTAACTTCCACTTCTACCATTAGCCAGACAACGCATTCTGGTTCTAAGGGCTCATTTGATTACATTGGGCCCACCTGGATGATCTTCCTATTTTATGGTCAACTGTACCATATAATATAACAGGAGTGATATGTCATATTCAAAGGCTCTGGGGATTGGGGTGGGACATCTTTGGGGGGACATTTTAGAAATTCTGCCTACCTCAATTACCTACCTTTGATTAGATCTTGATTCTGCTTTCTGGGAGAAACTCCCAGGTCTCGTGTCCACTGATCTCTGTAGTCCTTCATTGTATATAATCTTCTTTGGCCACATTTGAAGTGGGAGTTAGGGAGTATGCCCTCCTTGGGATCTCACAGCTTTTACAATCAACTTTCTGCTGATGTAAGCTTGATCCCAAAAGTTGTTTTCTAACTTGAGCCATCGATGGAGTTCTTAGTTCTGGCTTGTGTTTCTTTGTAAATACAATTCCTTCACAAACTTAGATTTCTGATCTATTTGCTTCCATTTGATTCCATGAGCCAATAACCACACCCCAAATCCTTTCCCAGTCATAATTCTCAAGATGTATTTCTTCGTTTTCTCAGCCCCATGCATTTCTCTTTCTCTAATTTAATGGTGGCTACACTGAGTTCATTTGAAACCACAATGGAAGGGCCATATCCTTGATCTGGTCTTTGCCATAGGCTGAGTTGATTTGCTTTCAACCGAGAAATTTTATTGGTTCTTTTCCACTCCAAACTCTTTTCAGTCTTACTATTTGGGGTTTAGATGCAGTCAGGTTTTCTAACCCTTCAATCCTTCAATCTAAACACTCTATATTCTATTTCCCTTCTGCTTCCAAATAGCCAATTCTTTCCTGAGTGCTTCTTTTTCTTGCAATACCTTGCCAAAGGCAGCCAATAAAGGTTCACATACCCCAACACTCTGATTCTTTCCAGCCAGTTATCCTAGAGCTATGGGCTGCCCATGGGCTGCCTTTCAAGTTATCGTGGGTAAGACTATACCAAATAATTTTTGTTTTATTCACAACATGGGTCACCATGTTTCTAACCCCTGGGATCAATTTTCTTGTTTCATGTCACTTGACTGCTAGGCCAGTGCATCATATTTGGAAAACTTCTAATTGAAGCAACCCATTTCTGGTTCAAATGTATGCATTAGTCAGTGTGGGCTAACTGCTATAACAAATATTCCTGAATTTCAGCGGCTTACTACACTAACATTTTACTTCTTGCTCATGTCACAGTTGAATGCTGAGTGCCCATTGAAAGACCTAGCTTCCTCCTAGTGGTTCTACAATTTTTTTAGGCCTCGGGTCCTCAACTGAGTCCTCTGACTTTGGTGGGCAGAGAGGGGAATAGAGAGGGTGTGAAGTATTGGGCAGGGGAGGCTGTTTTTAGGAAACTAGATCTGGAAGGTCTACATTCCCCTGCAACTAGCTGCAAGAAAGACTGAAAAATGTAGTCTATCTATGGAAATCAGGTTGGTGAAAATTCAGCAGTCTCTATCACAGCAAAATGCATTAACTTAAAAAATCATAAGCCAGGAAGGTACAGGAAACTAGGATCAGGAATGGGGAAGGGGAGAAAGAGAGGAATTTTTTTCAGCCCCTGGGAGGTAGCCCACAGTACAATGACCCAAGGCCTGGGGACTTCTGGTTGCTTCTGGGAGGCACTAATATCCAAAGGGATCTAATTCAGGGATGGGGCAAGGTCGTGGCTCAGCTCCATAAAATGAGGAGGCATTTGGCTGCTGCTGAAGGTTTGGAAATGTGCTTTTATTTTCAAACTCAGGTATGTGACACTCTATAATTCAATGCTAGCACACCTGTGTGATGTTTAACAACATTAGGAACTGACAGCCAGTGATACACACCTCCAACGTCTTCCTCTCCATTTACTCTGCCAGGCTGTACATGGGGAGCAATACATAGGGCTTTGTGGCGGCCGGGAAGTGAAGGTCCTTTTAGGAGGTGACATCAACGATGACACAAACAACACACCACTCTGAAAATGAGGGTAGGCACCCAGAGTCCTAGGGCTAAGCAGCAATGTTAGACTTCAGAGGAATTTTGAGGGGAACTGTTATTTCAGATCAGTATCACTGTTGGAAATATAGGGCTTGTTTCTCTCCGTTTCACTGCTGCTTTGGCAACAGTTCCAACAGCTTCAGATCCATCTTTGCTTTTCAGAAAGAAATATTGATAAGCACTTTTTCAGGAATGCCCTTAGAAATGTGGTTCCTCTTATGCTCCTTCTTTTCCTCAACCTCCCTTACTCACAGGGTAGTTTGGGTGAGGGCCTGGTCTGGAAGTATTCTTGCACGCCTTTCTGTGGAGCACCTGGAGGTTCAGGAGGACACCGCATCTCCTCTCCCAGCCTTTGTCTCAACTGGAAACAAAGGTGGGAACCCTGTGGCCAAGAGGACAATGGGCCAGCTCAGCCTGGTCCTTCTTTAAGGAAGACTGAGACTGGACATTGCCAGCCTAGAGTTCTGTCCCACAGCCACTCTCTAAGGAGCTCCATTTGCATCCTATCTTTGGCTCTGAGGGCCTAAGGCTTCTTCAGTGGGCCCGATTCCCCTGGAAGGGGAAGGGGCAGGGTAAACATCCATCCATGACCCCAAAGTCCATCTGCCTCGATCTGCACCTCTTTACCTTAATGGCACATCCTTGGTCAACCCTGGCTTGGTCTTCTCTCACAGTGGTTTTCTAGCCACTGTAAAGGATGCCCCCCCTTAAATCAACATGTTGTTTTAAAGTGGGGCCTGATCTAGGTGGGTCTTCTGAAAGGAGTGTTCACATCAAGCTTAGTCCTTGAGCTTGGAAATGGAGTTGCTAGTCGGGTCTCATTTCTGCTCTCAGAATAAGACTGAAAAATATTAGAATAAGTTAAGGCTAGTAAAGATGTTATTTTTCTCATTAAGGTGGTGGTGGTGATGGTGCTGGTATTAGGAAGTATGCAAAGTGTCAGCTGTCCCCAGGCTGCTCTCCGCCATCTTGAATGCTCACTTGTTCTTTTGTCAAACATTTAACGAAACCCTTCCAAGCGTTAGCCACCATGCTAGGCACTTACCCAGAGAATGGGTAAGACATGGTTCTTGTCTTTGAGGAAAAATGCTACGGGAGATGGATATAGAAATAAATTATTGTGATACACTGTCGTGATGGTCAATAAAGAAAATGTTTAAAAAGTGCCAGAAAGCACAGAGGAGGCGTGACCTATTACGACGGGAATGGTGGGGAGGTGCTGTCCCACAGCTGCTCTCTTGGGAGCTCCATTTGCATCCTGTCTGGCTCTGAGGGCCTAAACTCCTTCAGTGGGTCCAGTCCAGAACTATACACAATTAATTTCACCACTAAAACCCTACTATTAACCACATCCTTTCTATGAATTCGAGCATCCTATCCACAACTCTGACATGATGAACTCATACATCTCTTATGAAAAAATTTTTTACATCCAAGCCTATAGGAAGGGGATGATTTTTGCACTTGGTCCTGAAGATTGCCCAGAAGCAAAGAGAATGGCAGAAGAAAAACTAGTGAATGGAGGAACAGAGCTGTGAGAAAAAGCAGTTTAGTCTGGGAATCAGAAACGGATTGGAGTGGCTGAGGGGCCGCTTGGGGGAGTGGGACCGGAATGTCAGGCGTCCAGTTGGGAGACCATTGGAAGAGGGGGGAAGAGCACAGCCCCCGGAGCCAGCCTGCCTGGGTTTGAGTTCCAGCCCCACGATCTACTAGCTTGGTGTCCTCAGCAGGTTACCTGTGGTTCATGTGCTTCAGTTTTCTAATCTGAAAGTGGGATGAGTCATATCCACCTCACAGTTTTCTTTGTCTTGAAGATTAAATGAATTAATACCTAGATAATACCTGGAACAGTGTTTGGCTCATAGTACGTTCTATATGAGTGGTAGCAACAAAACAAAAGCGAAACAACCACAATAAAACCCTCACGGAAACCAACATCGCCCCAAACTGGTTAGGGATGAATGAAGGCAGTGGCCGTAAAGGTGGAGCGAGAAGTCAAACTGGAGGTGGGATGTGTTCCCTCAGTGTTATGCTCAACTATTGGGAATGCTCTGAAACATACTTGGGCTGGAAATCCCGTTTGAACTGAAGCACTAATATGAACTGCACACTTGCACACATGGAAGCTGAAAGCACACTGTGTCTCCTCCTTCCTCTGAGAGGTGGGTTAACTGCTCTCAACGGAAAAGAACAAGTGGGAACAGACTGTGCTGTACAGCAGCTTAGAAGTAGCACTTGAAATGGAGACCAGTAATTTTGCCATTGAAGCCATGAGTTTTGTGTTTTTCGAACATCTAAAATCCATGTGGAGAGCTCATTGAACAAGTGCTGGTGACTGCCCCACACCTAGTGAAAACCTGTGGGTTGGCTTTATCCAGAACACACACCCAGAGCACATGTTTGGAGGGTTGTTGGCTTCATGCACATGCACGCTGTGTGTATGTGTGTGTTGTGTGTGTGTACAGATGCATATATATTAATTCCATCTTCCCATTTCGTTTCAAGCACTGAGCTAAATTCAGCCTGAATATTTTTCTGAGACACCTTTTCTACTTCTGTAAAGAGAAACTCTGATTCCAAAGGGGAAAAGGGAAGGCTGAAGCAGTCTGTGAGAATGAGATGGGAAATGGGAAGATATTCACGTCACGACTCCAAATTCCAGGTCTGGTCCTCAGGGTCAGAGTTAGCCTTTAGGCACAATTCTTCCTGATTACCGACTGCAGAGAGGAAAAAGGGGAGAGTGAGCTTCTTACTGTCCCCCACAGTGAAGGTGCTCTATTTCTCCTGGCCATCTGAGCTAGCGGCAGGCGACCTTCTCTTCCATCAGTTTTTTGGTGAAGGTAACTTCTTCGTCCATCGAAACTTTCCCAGTTTTGTTGATCTTCTCAGAACATCAGTTACGTGTATGAATAGCTGCCACTGGGATGCTGAGCATGAAAGAACCCTTCCTTATTCCCTGAAGGGCTGGTGGCAGCATACCCACACCCAGGCCTGACACACTATGCTTGGGGAAAGGGTTGTCGCTGTATGCTGGAGCAGGGCACTGGTTGGGTATCAGGTTTCCTACTGCTCTGTAGGCTGCTCGTGCTGGAGTCCTGAGCTCCACCAGGAGTCCCTCTGGGCTGCTGAACAAGTGGATCTCCCAAGGGGCCCATCAGCCTGCTCTATGCATGAGTTATAGGAATTGTAGAGCCCCAGCACAACAGTCAAGACCAGCATTGCTGCGGCCATCATCCAGATGACTTGCCAGTGCTGACACAGTTTGGGAAACATGACTTGTAAGAAATGAACCAAATCTTCAAGTTTGCTGTCAAATGAAAAAAGAGGTATAGGTTTCAGTATATAGCGTACACATACGATGCCCAGACACATCCTTCTCCATCTGGGAATACCTCCCATGCTGTCTAGAGCAATGGTTCTCACACTCAGCTGTGCATAGATTCGCTTGGCAGCAATTATTTAAAATACCCCAGGCCTACGGAATAAGACTCTCCAAATTTTAAACAAGGAATCAATAGTTTAAAATTTTCCCCAGGGGACTGTGACACCACAAGTCCATAGCTTTGACATTGGGAGCAACTGGGCTAGAACACTCTATTTACTTGTTTGCTCATTCTCTCATTCACATATGCCCTCATCTATTCATGGGATGGTCGTTGATACCTGAACTCTCCCAAGCCCCAGGACACAAGGTTGGCTGACCCCTACTCCCAGGCATCCAGACAGGGCCAGCATCTTTTCTGCTCTTGGTGTTGGTGATCAGTTCCAAGTTCTAATCTGTCCCCTGCCTCCATGCTCAGATGCATAAGTTGTTGTTCTCGGTTCCATATCTGACTGTGTCCAGAGTCAGGACTGTGCTAAATCCTAGAAGACTCTTGATGTCCAGTGTTAAATGACAAGGAATCAAATCAACCTCAAGAGCTCACTTCAAACCATCCCAGGGGCAACCAGAGGACTAGTAGCCTCCTGCAACCTCTGCGTGGCTTATTCAACTCCACTAATCTTCACTCCCAAATTTTTACCTCCTCCTCTTTCTCTCCCCTCTCCACTGTCTCTTTATTCTCTCTTCCCTCCTTCCCTTTCATCTTCCCCTCCTCCATTTTCTGCTGCTTCATTCCCCTTTTTCCTCTTCCTTTCTTCCCAACTGCCTTTCAACTTTTTCACTCTCTTTGTGGCCTAGTGAAGAGACATTTGGCCAGATGGCCCACTTTGAAGAATCCATTCTTAGAGCTCTCTGGAGAAGCCCTGGAAATGTTCATTAAGCTGGTATTTCTTCATGTTTCTAATCGCAGGTCTGTTTTTTTAAACATAATGTAAAAAATGAGAATACTGAGGATCACCAATTGGAGGAGGTGAGGAAAGTGACAGGGGCTCTGAGATCTTGAGGCTCACATAGATACTGAAATATGGAGGCCATTTGCTGAGAAGTAGAGAGTAGTAATTCAGAGTTAGTAGAAAAAAGATGCCTTACAGTGGATAGAAAGACTCAAAAAATACCCTCTTTGGAAAGGGCAGATGCTCAGAGTGCTGCCTCAGATGCTAAGGCACTGATTGTTTCTTTTCCATGTAGGAACCCTCTGATGGTCAATTCAGGGACAATTAAGCAGAGCAAAACAGTGAGCACATTAGCTGAGGTGAAAATCATCAGCTATTTTCACAACTATTGGGAAGGGACAGCTTGGAAATGGAAGCTTCTTTTCTTTCAGCCCTATTTAGATTCTTAGTTTCTATTTAGATATAATCGGATGCTAAAATGCAGTCTTTCCTTTGGACTGCATTTCCATGCTCCCAAATCAAGCTGCCAGAGTAGGAGAATCCTACTCTAACCTGACTCTTAAGTGGGCTGCAAAGAAGGTCAAGATCTGGCTCTGTGACCCTTAGCTGGTCACCCATCTTCAGCCTATAAAAGAGATTACAAATAGAATTCGATTAGAAATAGAATTCCTTTGGAAACCCGTTTTTGATTGTTCTGAGTTCTACCCACTCCTCCATAGGGAGGGATGCAGTTGCTTCCCCCTCACCTGGGCCTAGAGAGGGGCTTCAGAGATGCTGCTTTGAGAGTTCGATATGTTGCAGTTTGGGGGACACAGTGGACTGGTGTGTCCAGTCAGAGAAATCTGAAGAGCAAGAATCTTGCTGAAGTGCTTGATCTGAATAGGGGGCCATGATAGGGAAAACCGCCCTCCTACCAATGGGGGGCCAAAGGTACACATTCCACCTTAACTGGATGTAGCCAGGTGAAGGAGCGCTGGCATGGGGTGTCATAGATCCTGCCCAGAAATGTTATCTAGATGCTGAACAACAAACGTATTCTTACAGCTGCCCAAGGACTGAGAGAGAGATTTTAAGTGGCCATTTGAAGAGATACATTTGACCTCATAAAGGGACCTACAGCTGAGAGATGCTCAGGAATGGTGTGAATGTGTGTGTACGCTGAGGGGTGGGAGAAGTAGTTTTCTTTGAAGGTCTCATAAAGCAACACACTAAAGAAAGTCAGCTTTAAACCCCTGCCAAGGCCTGGAGCCTGCTCACAATAATGTCAGTCAAGTAATACCTTCCCTACCCCCTTAATCTCGATTCCCTTTCCCAGCATTCACCCCAGAGAGGTCAGACACCACATTAGCAAAGCTGGGGTGGAGACAGGAGTGCAAGAGGAACAGAGATAAAGAAGCCACGCTCCCCGTCCCCACTACAGGCTTCCTTCCCGAGGCAGACTGGAGCTGGAGGAGGAGAGAAGCTTCAGCTTGATAAAATGTTCAGGCTTTTGACTATTTCAGGGAACTGATCCTTTCAATTACTGAAAAGAAGTATTCTTGGAACTTAAACTTGACCAGAGGATTTCTTTTTTCTGAAAGTTATTGGAAAAGTACAAGAATCTGCCTATATCATCTTGACCCCATAAAGCAGGTTTAAATGGGCAGAAGAGACAGAAGTTTCCTGCTGCACACCTTGTGAGTCTCACTTGTTCAGTGTATTACATAAATGTCAGAAGACTGTGTTCCCTATTTTAATATGGTTAAGATATTGGGTCAATTTACCCAAAATTCATTTAAGTTGATCCTCCAGAAAGTAATATTTATAATAGATTACATTGTTATCCATTATTATAACAGAGGAGAAATTCAGACAAAAAGACTAGTGTTTGATGTTGAATCTCTTAAATAAGGAGTCAGCTGTTAGAGTTAGCCCAGTGTTCTTAAAAAGCACTAAGTAGGACATGGAACTTTTAATAATTTCAAACCTTGCTTGTCAATGAGATGCCAAAATTTCATGGGGGGTATTGTGTTTGAGCTCAGGTCCCTGCAGGCAACTGTGTGTCTCAGGGACTCAGCGACGAGTGAGGACCACCTGGCATTGAAGACCACAGCTCTCGGGGCCACTCTGGCTTGGGTGACAGGAGAGGAAGAGACCCTTTAGCTGTGAGTGGGCAGTTTATATGACAGCAGCCTTAGTCGTTATGGAGAAGATGACGCCACACTGCTGGGCCTACATCCTGTGCTGAAGGACAAGGACCCTTCTGAGGGCCGTGCTGATGCCTGGTGTCCATCACCTGAGGAACGGGCATGTTCTCAAGACCAAAAAGTAAATCTGAGAAGGAGCAAAGTTTGGAAGAGAGATCAAGGCCTCTCAGGATCAGCAGGACCAAGAGGACACTCTCGGACGATGGATGGGAAGGGAGGCCATTGCTATGTGTTGCTCACCAGCAGCTGAACAGAGAGGGACCCAGACACAGCCTTACTTCCCCTGGGGTTTCATGAAATGGGAGGGAGCCGCCCATCACCTGAGATCAAATTAGCTAGATAAGGATTCCAGCCCTGTGTTTTGTAAACCAGACTGTTTATATCCCATGTACTCTCTCTGTTTAGTTCTCTTTTGTTCTTTCTTGGTGTTTGGAAGTGTTAGGAGTTCCAGCCTGTCTTAGCTGTATTGATGGGAGCCAAAGGAAGGGCTGTTGTCCAGGCCTGGGCTTGACTGCATTAAAGGGGAGGAAGGCAGTGTGGTGGTCTACAAAACAAGAGCAGAGGACCCCCGAGAGAGAGAAGACACAGGGTCTGGTGCTTAGAGTAGAGATTGTGCTTTCATTGTTAAAACTGGGGGGTTCTTTTCATTAGGGGAGGTGGTGCTTCCTAGCACAGGTTTGTTTTCAACAGAGAAGCATTTTCTCCAGCTCTCCCAGACTGCTCTTCCCTTGAACATTGGGAATGGCTCATGCAGGCTGAGGCCACTCACTCTGGTTGAATATTCCACCAACTGGGCTCTCTTGGTTGTTCTTATGTGCTTTGAAATGCATCTATCTCACTTATAACCTTCATTTAATTACCTTACTCATTGCATGCATGTGATTTCCAGACTCTGCCAGCAATGAGACATAGACATATACCCTGTCTCAAGTTTAGCAGCTGATTAGATAATTAATCATTTTGGCTGGAGCCACCCTGGACCCAAGACAGCCTCGTTGTCTATAAACAAAGATTTTGGTGAAGCATTCCATTTGCTGTAACCACATTTTTAAAAATCAAAATTCAAGACTTCCGGTCTGAATTTACTAATAGAGACAATAGAGAAGAATATATGAAATTGGGGGCTATCGTTAAAATCCAGGACACTGATGTGGTCACTATATCCATAGGGCACAGGAAGGACAAGGTGCAGGATCTGTACTATCTTTATCCACATGTTATATATTTTTTTCCTGATTTAGGAAAAAATACACTTGAAATATAAAATTCATTAAAAAAAAAAAAACCCAAGTATTTCCAATGCAAAGTGAAAACACTATCCAGATGACCAAGCTTGTCTGATCAGCATGAAAGGGACCTGTTGGAGACTCACCTTTGTCACTGAGCTGAGTTTGTCCCTTCCCCCATGTGATCTCTCTGCCCCTGTTGTTGTAAGGACCCCCCTCTAGGGCTTCGGGCCAAGTCCCTTGACCTTGGCTCTTTCATGGGGATGGCTGGGAAAGGAGCTAACTGTGGCTGGGCTAGGAGGGACTCCAGTCAGGTTTCCTCACAGTTTCTCAGCTCCTGGGAGCTCCTTACTGCTGCCGGCCCTGCCCTTGACCACCTCTGACCCCCTCAGCTCTTGCATGTCCCCTTGTTAACTATTTTGGCTCCGTGGTGTTTCCTCTGCCTCCTCCCCCAACGTGGGTGTCCTCTTGGTTTCTGTTGGCTGCTTATATGGGCCCCAGGCCCACTGCTGCCCTGGACAGATGCCTCTAGGGATGTTGTGCAATGAAATCAATTGTGACCCATTTCAGCAATGGCAAGGGCTCCAACCTGCTTCTCTGCTCCTTTTCCTCTTCCTCAGTTTCTTCTGCCTCTTCAGGTTCCTCAGGACTCTCATTCTTCTGTTCTTCCTCTTCCTCCTTCAGGTCCTGAAGCTCTTTGGTCTTCTTTAGACCTTCCTGGTATCTGGAAGGCAAAAAGGAACAACTGAGTCTGGGAAGGCCAGGCTCAGAGCATCCTTTCCTGAGTTCCTAGAGGTGGGGACCTGAGCACTTCCAATAACTATGCACTTCCTGTGGTTCCACACAACAGGAAAAAGCTGGGAAGCTCCCTGAATCCCAAGGTGGCTTGTGTCAGTACAATTTCCCCTCACTCCCCAGTCATCTTTCCTGTTTATGTGAAAGTGTGACAAAACTGACAGGGAAAAAACATGGGTGCAGAGTCTCCTGACTGGGTTCTTATGCTACAAAACATTCAGTCGAGATAAGACTGCACTGTTCTCTGTGTAACCTTGGCTCTTCAGCTCCTCTCCTGTAAAGAGCAGAGGGTGGCATCCGTCTCACAAAGCGTTGGAACATTTTGAGAAAATGCCAGGCATACAGCTTGACCTAGGAAGGTGACACTCGTCACATAGGCTTGTGGGGAAGTTTTACAGAAGTGACAGGCACACAGCTTGGCCTAGAGAGGTACTCAGTAAATGTTTACAAAGCCAATGGAGGCATTTATCCCCACGTATTCTGAGCAGAGAGGACAGTTGTGGGTGAAGAGACAGGCTTTCCAAGAGAAACCCTTCTGATTTCCTTCTCCCAGGATCAATATTACACTGAATGGACTGTTTTTGCTTGCCCTACAGCTGAGCATTTAAGGTCAGTGCGGTTTGGCTGGGGCAACGCCACCACCGTGTACGTGACTGCCACGCAGAAGCCCACAGGGGCCATGTCAGTGGGAAGCTGCGTCTCCCTCAGGGGCTGCGGGGAGAAGAGGAGCATGAGCCTGGTCAGAGGTCATTCTCTACCTGGCTGGGCTTGGGCCCTGCTCAGTACTCTGTCCCGTCAGTGACTGAAACAGGCCAGAGGTGCCACTGAAGCTCAATGAGAGAAGGGGACAGCTGGAAGGTGAGGGGACTCCAGTTTAGAGGAATAAGGGATGCCTGGGGCAGTTCTAGGAAGTGGAGTTGTAGCTGCTCTTGGGCACTGCTGGCAGCAACATGACTGCTCCAAGCATGAACACGTGTCAGGATGCCTCAGACACCACCAAGACGAACCCACCCAGGGCCCCTGATTTCCAGACCATTCTGGGCAGTGGTGTTTTGGTGGCTTTCTGCCTAAAAAGAGGGCAGTCTAGTTATTGTCTAACCACACCCTCTCACCCTGCTTCCTCCTGTCCTTCCTGTGGAACAGTACTGCTCTTTCCTATGCAGGTCTTTACTGAGGCAAGGAGGTCCTGGGGCCACTGGTTGCTTCCCTAAATCCTCTAAGAGACAGGAAAAGCCTGTGGGAAGGTATCTGAGACCCGCCAGGTGACCTCAGGGTGGCCGAGGTCTGACTCACCCCTTATTGTACGCTTCTTCCTCCATCCTGGCCTTGGCCTCTGGGCTAATCTCCTCCAGGCAGCTCGGAGTTGGCATGGGAGCGGAGGCTTCACAATCTGGTTCCCCATTTGTCTTCCCACTAGTGAGAGGAGGGAGTACAGGGCGTCCTTTCAGGGAAAGATTGGGTGTCTGAAAACCAAACCATGTCTTTGACCTCTTCCCGTTCAGAAGTGAAGAAACTCATTCTGGATTGAATTCATTTCAATCCTTCTACCTTGAGACAAGATTTTATAAAGGCCCTAGTCTGTGAATCCTCCCTAGACCCCCAAACATCAGACACTGCATCAGCTCCCCTTTTCCTCATGCTCCCAAATCCACCTTTATTCTTACTCTAGGAGCAGCTGTGAGTGGACAGACAGCTATCAGGAGCTCCACAGTGCTAAGATGAGGAAGATGGAGGTGGACCAAAACACTCAGGGTCGTTCCACACCTTTACTCTATCCTTTGCTTCAGTATTTAAATATCTATTGAGCACTGACTAAGTCACAGGCACCTTGTAATATGCTGGGGATACATCAGAAAATAAAGGAAACAGTCTTTGCCGACATGGAGCTTAGCAGGAGAGAAAGCCCCCAAAAACAAAAGAAAAAACATGTAATTAATTACAAATTGTGATAACTTTTAGGAAAGAAACAAACTCTGTGCAGTGACAGAAAATAACGAAGAGAGAATTTGCGTAGATTAAGTGGTGAGAAAAGGCCTCTCAGGCTGTGTAACTGAAGCACAGATCTGAAAGATAAGAAGTCAGCCACATCTACAGCAGAGGGAAAGTAGAAGATGCAAGATGTAGAAGAAGACAAGAAGAAGACAAAAGACATGGAGATATTTGAGGACCTGAAAAGAGGAAATGTGGTAGGAGTTCAAATTTTGGATGCCTATGAGGTATCCAGGTAGAGATGTCAAGTAGGTAGTTGGATATACCAAAGTGAGTTCGAGAAGAGCTCTGGGCTGGAGATATTCATTTGGCATCATCAGAATGTAGATGATATGTAAAGCCAGGGGAATGGATAAGATTGCCTAGGGAGATAGTATGAGGAAGGATGAGAAGAGGACCCAGGACCAAGCCATGGGCATCTCTGCCCTTAGCTCAGGTGGAGAAGGAGGAGCCTACAGAGGAGACTGAGAAGTAGCAGCCAGAGAGGTAGGAGGAAAACTAGGAGAGCATGGAGTCCTGGGAGCCAAGAGAGGAGAGTGTGTCAAGGAGGGAGAGTTAAGTGTCACAAACACTTCTGAGAGTTCGTGTCGGATGAGTACAGAAAAGGTGACTATTAGACTTGATAATATGGTGGTCAAGAGGAGCTTTGATGAAATGGTGGGAGCCAAAGACAGACTGGATGGGCTTAGTAAAGAATGGGGCGTGAGAAAGGAAGACGTAGATACAGTAATTTGACTCGGAAGGGGAGTAGAAGTGTATGCTGGGGGAATGTGCAGCTGAAGAAGTGGGTCAAGGGATGAAAGCACATTTGAATGTGGACAGAAATGATAAAAATAGAGGGGACGAGAGAAAGGGGGTGATCACAGGAACAAATTCCTGGAAAAGGGAAGTAGGAACAGACCTTAGAAAGATGGAGAAACTTCCCCTCGGTTATAACGAAGGGAGGAAGGAGGTGCAGATGGTAGGTTGTAGGTTGGGGATCTGGTGAAGGAAGATGAGAGGGCTCTTATCTGATAGCTTAAATTTTCTCTGTCAAGGGGAAGACAAGGTCATCTGCTGAGAGTGACAGGGAGAGAGGCCCAGGAAGTTGTTTTTTTTTTTTTTTTTTATTTTTTTTTTTTTATTTATTTTTCCCCCAAAGCCCCAGTAGATAGTTGTATGTCATAGTTGCACATCCTTCTAGTTGCTGTATGTGGGACGCAGCCTCAGCATGGCTGGAGAAGCGGTGTGTCGGTGCGCGCCCGGGATCCGAACCCGGGCCGCCAGCAGCAGAGCGCGCGCACCTAACCACTAAGCCATGGGGCCGGCCCCGAGGCCCAGGAAGTTTTGAGAAGAGAGGAGAAGGCCTAAAGAGTCATGTGAGAGAAGGGGACAATGAACAGGCTAGAAAGTCATAGTAGGATGCTGGGCAGAGCTGGGGGCCCATTGAAGGTGTGGGGTCACGAGTTTAAAGGAAGTATCCTGATGGCCATGCCTTCCCTATAGATCCTGCAGCCCACCTAGGTGTCCGGAATCCCGATGTGAGGACTTTCAAGGAGGAGCCCTCGAAGGAGGCACAATGGCAAGCAGAACTTTTCAGCCAGATTCTAAGAGCTCACAGCTGCCACCCTCGTTGACCTCTCAGACAGGCTTTATGAGTGGGCCTTATACCTTCTCCTCATTCTTGGTGTCAGTTTCCCGTCTCTTAGTTTCTCTCAGACCTTGCAAAATTTACATTTCATCAGGCTGGAAACCAAAACCCATTGTGAACAAGAAAGATAACACTCTAAAAATATCAGCTATTCATAACGTTTCGCCTTGTGCAAACTACATTATCCACTCCCTTCCACGTGACCTCGGCCTAATGTGCAGTTTCCTATTTGTTCAAATGATTAGAACAAGAGCAGAAAAACACAGCTATAGCCAAGAGCCGGGAAACTATCTTATGAAAGATATTTATATATTAGAAATAAAATATTGGTGTCAGACTTTTAACTTCTTTTATCTACAGCCGTCAACCTTAGAGGTTAATGATAGACGTGTATGAAGGAGGACAGCGTAGCATGGAGGAAAAGAGCCTGCCTAAGGCAAACCTGGGTTCAAATCCCAGCTCCAACACATGCAAATTACTTAACCTTCCTGAACTTCAGATTCCTCAACTGTAAAATGGGGATAATAATAGTCACCTGATGGTGGTAGTATAAGAATTAATGAAGAAATATAAGTAAACTTTCTAGAATATGGGAACAATAAATAAACATTTATTGTTATTATTAGTTGTGTAGTAAATTTATTGGTAAAATTTGGGAGCAATCTGAGGTTCTTTCAAACCTGATCCATAAAGAAATCCAAGCTGGTAAATTACCAGGCAATTATTTATATCTTCAAGGGAAAACTTGATATATATATTACTCTGATACTTCGGAATCAGAAGAACCCTAAATGTGAATTTAAAGTACGGTAAAATTTATACAAAATTGCTTTAATAAATTTCTCAGGTGCATGTCTATTGTGTGCCATAACACACTCATGCATCTTAAAGTTTTGCTGACCAAGTGATGGTAAACACTTTCACTGTCCTCGGTCACTGCTCTCTAGAGACCAAAACTTTTGCCGGTAGAGCCGGAAAGCCGGCTCTGAACAAATACTATTGTTCTCAGTTTGACAGGTGAGGAAACCAAGGCTCAGAGAGGTTAAGTAACCAGACTGAGTTCACACAACCAGTGTGATGGAACTTGAATTTGACCTGTTCAGTCTGACGTCTGCTGAAGTTCGTGACTGCACTAGCTGCCAACCATGTAGGGTATTATCCCACTTGACAGATGACAAACCCAAGCTCAGGTTGATTAAATGACTTGCGTAAGTTCACATTATTGGTGGTTGGTAGGCCTGGCTGGACTCTCACCTTCGTCTTCTAACTTCACGTCAAGATGCACTTTCTACACCTCCTTGAGCCCTCCCTTTCAAGAGAAATCTTTCCCTGGGGATCTGAGCAGTGTGTGGCGTCCCAGGGTACCTGCTGAGTGAAGCATTCCTGCGCTCAGGCTGGCCCATGGCTTATGAGACCGCTTGTTTAGAGAAGGAGATGGGCTGGGAGAGACTCTGGTTTAATCCTGGGGATAGAGTGGGAAGTAGGAGGAAACGCACGCTATGTAAAATGTTTGCTCTTCTCTCCTGATCCCTAGACTGAGCTTACAGTTCCTTAATTATCTTCTCTAACTACCTGGAAGTTTCTCCCTGTGCATTTTTAAGACTCAGTTCAAATACCTTCTCTTCTGTGGAAACTTTGCCAATGTTTTCTCTCTCCCACACCCTCTGGTTAAAGTTGATCTCTCCCTCCCTCTCTGCCCTCACTGTACTTCTGTCCCAGCATAACTCAGAGATAGGGCATTTTATGTTTCATAGACATGCCCATCCCTCCACGTGACTGTGACCACAGGGAGAGGGACTGTGTGAGTTAGAATGGTGCTTGGCACACAGTGAGTGCCTTTATGTGTTTATTGAGTTACGTTGACTTCACTGTGGCTCGTCCAGTCTCTTCCTATTAATCTTGCAAAATGAGCAAGGCCTCTTTGTAAACAACTATTTCCTGAGAACCCAGTGTTTCAGTTGAGCTAAAGGACTCTCTATGTATGGCTGAAAACTTGGAGCTGAGCACAGCCTGTGCCCACCCTAAGGATTTCTGGGCCAAACACTCATGGATCTTGGTGTCTATTCCCAGCCTGAGATCTTGCATGCTTTCTTTCTGAGATGATTCATTAAAATGAGGCTCATTGTTCTCTCGTGTCCACCAGGTCAAAAGCGTTTGTCATTGTGCTCAGCTCTCAGTAACATGAGGGGCTATTTAGTCAAAATATTAGCTGTTTGACTGGCAGGTATATTAGAGTCTATTTTTTCCATGTTGTAAACAATATTTGAAAGTGACTATAATCTTTTCCAATGGACAGATCTCACCTTCTGGAGCTCAGCAATGTCTCTGAGCCACCCCCACTGCCGTGGCTCCCTCAGACAAGCCCAGACCAGGGGATCTGAGTTAGAAGAGCTTCTTTATTCTCTGTTACTCAGTCCCAAATTCCTGGGGGTCCACTACTAGTTGATTGAGGACTCATTCCAGAATACTATCAGCAAAGGGGAGTTGCTTACTGTACATATTTCATGTCACATAAAACCTTTGAGCAATTTACCCTGGCTGCTTCAAAAGTATAGAAAAAAATGGTTATTTTAGAGATTATAGTGAAAATTGCCCTGTGATGTATCAGTATAGTGGCTCCTTTTATGAAGTGAGTCTTGTGCGTCGTCCACATCCATGGCTTTGCTGATCCCACAGTGAATGGCTCCATGTACACCCTCTGCTCCCACCTCACCCTGCCCTCCTCTCCACGCCCGGGCAGTCACTAGGTTCTTTCACAACAGCTCATGGGAGCTTTTTCAAAAATAGCTCTTAAATCCACCCTCTTCTCTTCAGTCATACTGACCTTCTTTCTGTTCTTCCAGTTGGAGGGTCTATTAAGAGGTTAAGAGCATGGGTTCTGCTATCTACTAGCTGTACAGCCTCAGGCAAATGATGATTTCTGTTTCCTCTTCTATAAAATAGGGATGTTAATAGTATACCTACCTCATGGGATTATGGTAAAGATTAAATGAGATCATTCATGTAAAGTGATTAGAATAGCACTTGGCATAAAGTAAGCCTGCTGTAAATAATAGTTGTTATCATTATCACCATCATCATCATTATTCCTTGACTACTCCGTACTTTTTCGCCTCAGAGCCTGAAATAGTTAACCTCCAGTTCACCTAGTTAATGATATAGTCTTCAGGTTTCGCTTTAAAAGTAGATTCCTAGAGGAAACATTTTCTGAGGACCCCAGCCCCCCAATATCAAATCTGGGTTAAGGCGCTCATTTTCTTGTATGTAGTTCCATTAGCAACCTGTACTTCCTCACGATGTCACCCATCACATCATATTATAATGGGCTGTTTCCCACCTCTCTTTCCCGCTAGATCGTGAGCTTCTTGAGTGCATTCTAGGTGCTCGGCCCTTGGTAGTTAATTGTTGAAGGAATGAAAGAATAAAAGACTACGAATAAATAGCTCTTCCTACTTGTGGAACCGCTCTTGAGCTTTGTTCTGTTTGAATCTTCAAGACTAACTTTAAATATCCCTCTCTATATTTTTCCCTAAGTCTACAGGTTCTTAGACTCTCATGGAGTGAAGAACAGTTTACTATGAAGTGACCTACAATAACAAGGCTCAGAATTCTCTCAAATCCCATTGGGCAGTGCTGTCAGCTCTCAGGTATTTGCTTGAGAACTAGCTGCAGGTAATCTCATCTTTCATGTGCTTAGCCAATTCCCTTCCTGCTTAGTCACCATATGCTTAGGGAAATGCGAAATTATTTTAACATCAAGCTGAATACAACAATCTAGAAAGCAATGTTTATTAACTTATAAGCCATTGTTTCTCTTTGACAATATGGAAGAGGTAGTTAGAATTGACTGTATTCACGTTAGAATGGAAGATATGAATTCATTTTCACTCACAAATTTTCTCATTGCAAGCCCCTTGGCAATCTATTAAATGTTTCCAGTTTCATGAATTCAGATGGAAGTCACTTAGCACCTTTTAGAAATCCAGAGGGGGAAGCTGTTGTTAGTCTGATCCCTCCTCCTTTGAATACCTCTCCCCTTTTGGCAGCCATCTTTATAGGCTGGGTGTGTTCCCAACAGGCGAGTCAGCCACAGCATGACTAATGTATCATGGCGGTCTCTCTGGCAGCCCATGAGCTGCAGATACCTTCCTGGGGCTTCTTGCTTGACTTGCCTCAATCCTCACTCTGTCCTTATTTCAAACCCTTGGGATGGTGAGGCTACCATTGATCCTCAGTCACTGCCACTCCCGATTTAGGGCTGCTGTCTGCTGTCCCCAGTTCTGCACCTCACTTTTTCCTACCAAGGATAGTTCGTTCAGGTTTTTGGTGCTCCCCACTACCTCACATAGAAGCTCTCAAGTGGCCTGAGCATTAGCTCTACAGACTCCAGGCCCTGCTCCATCATGATTAGAGTCCGTTGAGAAGAGTGGGGACATAGATTTTCTGTCTTGGCTGGCTCTGCAGGCTGAGAGTTGGGAATGAGGCCTTGTTGAGGGCCCTCCTGGAGAAGGCATTGGTGTACTCGAGTCAGGATGGGAAGGGAGAATTTTAGTGAGCTTCTCACTCAGGTCATTGAGTGACCATTTCTGGAGAGATTCAGAGACCATGGGCCAGCACTATGACTCTAGGGCCTTGGCAAGATTCTGTGACTTTGGTTACTACCACATGGCTGTTAGCTTGTCACCCCCTCACAATTTCCCTGTAGTTATCAGGAAAACAATGAGACAAAGAAACAAACAAAAATACCCTACACAACATGAAAGTCCTGTAAGCTTACGTGGGGTGAGATGGCAAAGCAAGGAAATGCTGGGCAAACTTCAAGATTAATGTGGAGTGAGTCACTAAGTGTTAGGTTGGTGGTTGCATATACTGAGAGGTGAGGAACACAGGCTGAGTCTGGAGGTGGGAGCATAGGAACTTGTCTGTCCTGAAAAGGGGCCCAACATAGACATTCCTTGCCAGATCAAGCAAAACTATTCCTACAGCAATGAAAAATGAAGGACTAAAGCTGTCTCAAGGCAAGGAAGAATAGAGGTATATGTTCTACTAAGTGAAGAAAGACACAAGGGGAAAATTCTGAGAGGTGGCAGCTGTGATCCAGATGTTTTCCAGCAAGCAAATGAAAGATCTTGAAAAGCAAGTTATAAACTCCTCTGAGTGTGTAGAAAACAGCCTGGCTTGCTCTGGCAGAGGATGAAAAGAGCTGCAAATTGCATAGATGCCTAGAAAAGCTAGGCTTAGCAGACACTGTTGGTTGCCAATTCAATATTCACTCTCCTTCCCACTTCCCAACAGCAATATGATTCTGCTCAAGAATTTACTCTTCTTCATGGGCCCATTTTATTTCATGGGAAGCTGACCCTTTCTCCCCTCTCCAGGGCATAGTTTAAGCCCATGACAACTATCCTATTCCCAAAGCCTGTGATTGGTTTAGAAAGGGACCATGTTCCAAATTTGCCTACAAGATAAGAAGGAAGACTGAGGAAAGGCTTCTGGGTTCATTCCTATGGAAGAAACATGGGAAGAGATGGTCCCTTTCTTCCTCTAGATATTGTCATGTCTGGATGAAATACCTGGAACTCGCAGCCATTTACCACAAGCCTGCTGATGAAGTCAACACCCAAAGTGGGCAGAGGCAAGGAAGCTGTAGAGGCCGAGCTGGGGCTCTGATGTACCACTCCTGGAAAAGCCCTACGTCTGGACTTACTATTTACGCCACTTTGAGTTGGGGCTTTCTTGTATCTATAGCCCCCGAAATCCCAACCAACAGAGAAGGCTTCCATCACCTCTGGGCTCTTCTTAGATTGTGGTACACTTGGCCTCAGACACAGCATCTTCTTGGTCTGGGAATTTTACAAGCTGGGTCTGAAATCTTTGTGGGTCTCAGAGTCCCATTCATTTCTCCTAGAGCTTAATTTGCTTTCCATCACATTTTGGGAGTGAGGATGGGAGGAAGGGTGATTTGGGGAAGTTTTCCTCAGAGACTCCCAAAGTTAAGACAAAAATCAACAAACTTACTTTTCCAAAAGTGCAGGCAGTGCTGAGGTGACAGGTAGGTTGCCTTTCCCGTTGGGTGATTCCGACTGAATGGAAAACAGGAGACAGAGAATTGAGGATCAGCTAGGAAAGAAGAAGCCAGAGCTGCTAGGTCTCTGATGATGCTGGGGAGGGGCTGCGGCTTCTCTTCTTTCCCTCCGCCCTTCCCCATGCTTTGTAATCTGCCTCTGAGCCCAGGCATTGGGCCTTCCCTGTCCTCCTTTCCTCAGAGCCCTGTGGGGCACATGCGACTTGCACCTTTTCCTTCTCTTCTTCCAAGTTTCCTTGAGTGAAGAGAAGAGTTTACATTTTGAGGCTCCATTCTGGAGGGGAGCCATCAGTTTTTCTCAGTCCCCTGTTTACTGGCTTGGAATGAATACCAGTGGGCCTCCTACCAAACACAAGCCTATCATTTCCCTGGAGATACAGCTCCAAGCACAATTCTCAGGAGACACTTATCATTACTAAAAGCTGAAGCCATCAGAAATTTCTTTATAACAAATTCCCCAGGACTACCACCTTTTTTTGTTGCAATGGATTTGGGTTAAGCAATTGTTCTCAACTCCGACTACACGTTAGAATCACCTGGGGGAGATTTTTTTTAAAGTACTGATACAATCCAGAATCTTGGGGTAGAGCCTAGGCATAGAATGTTTTAGAAGTACCCTGCATGATTTTAATGTATATCCCTGGTTGCCAACTCCTAGTCTAAAGGAGTATATATTTGGGAACCACATTTATATATTTAGAATAGTATGGGAAATAGCTCTGTTAAAACACACTAACTAGCTCTCCCCAAGCTCCTTTTTAAAAAATTTTTTTCAGGTTCCTTTGTTATAGTGGGTGATTTGGGAATTTATTTTGATTTCATAGATGATTGAAATGCTCAGGCAGGGAGAGGTGAAAGTCTAAGAGTTATTGCTCCTTATTGGCACCACAATAGAGCTTGAATCCACTTTACCTATTGCTCACACAATCAGATTGTCTCCTTACAGACCAGTGCTGGTCAAGGACGGGGCATAGAGAGACAACTAGAGAAAGAACTAGAAGAGCATGAGATAGGATCAGCTAGATTCACAAAGGCTTGGGATCTGGAAAATATTTTGTTATATAGGAACCATCTTTGTTTACGAAAAATTGAAATGGAATTTTTTCTGATTATAAGTAATGTATTCTTATTATAGAAATATAAAAAGGCATCAAGAAAATAAAAATCACCTGTAGTTTTACCATTGCCCAGAGATAACCATTATAGTTTTACATATATTCTTCCAGAATTTTCTATGTTGACACATAGAAAAACACTCTTTTTTTTTTAAATAGCACAACAGAATTATACTGTGTATACTGGGATTTTTTGTATATACTGTTTTTTAATTGTCTTTTATTAAAAAATTATGGTCATTTTTTCGTGTCAATAAATAGATTTATATTCTAATTATTATTTTTAGTGGTTGCATAGAAACCCCTTATAGGGATATCCGTAATTTATTAAACCAATCTTTTATTAAAGGAAATTCCGGTTATTTCCAGTTTTTCACTGTTGTAAACAATGCTGCAATGAATCAAGGCAGGAAAACATTGGGCTTAAAAACTCAGGCTCTGGAATCAGAGAGTCTAGGCTTCAAAGCTTCAGAGCTTCAAAGCTCTACCACTTAGTACACAACTCGAGCTTCAGCTGCTTCAACCCACTGCAAAGCTGAAAAAAATCATCCCACCCTGGAAGACTGTGGCTTAAGCATGAAAAGAGATACCATTTGCAAGGGAACCCTCTCTGAGCTGCCAGCACCTCGCTCACAGATACTGAGTCTTCTTCTCAGAGCAGCGGAACACATGGAGGCCTGGTCTACATTGAGCTTTTTGAGCTCATAGCCCAGAATCTGTGCTGGGAATTTCCTCTCCTTGTTGACCCTGCCCCCATCTGTCTGGGTCACCCCATGGTAGTGAGCCTGAGGGCTGGGAGGCAGGCACCATCATACTCACCAGGGCTGGTAAGGAGGGGATGGGTGACGAGCTGGGGGATTGGCCAGGCAGGTTCAGGGCATTAAACTTGGGAACCACAGCAACGCTGACCCTCCGGCGGGGCATGTTCTGTGGAAAGAGAAGTGACCAGGCCCACTGTCATGAAGCGGGCAGCACTCACTGTTCAGAAAGGCCTGGAAAACGCCTACTAGTTCTAACGCTGTAATAACATTCACTGGATATTTTGGCTTTGGGGTAGTGATGATGGTAGGGGTTGGTGTGGAGAGAGTAGCCAAAGTTGACACAAATTTTCCGTTAGTGGTGAATGATTTCTCAACTTTAGATAATTAGGTCTACTTTAGATAATTAGGTCCTGAAGAAATGGAACAGAAATGACCCCCAGTCTCTGAGTAACACCCTGAATAGTGTACAAAAACTATAGCAATACTGAGGTTGATGCATCATTTCATGTTCATTTAAGGAATGGTACAGTCAGGGAAACCATGAGCAAGAGAAGGTTGGAGGATGAGCTTGCAAGTGTGGGAAGCTGAATTAGACGCTCTGTCCAGAGGTTCTCCGGCACCCATGGATCCAAGAATGAATGATCTCCTAGATGACTGGAAACTTCTGTTATCCTCCTTCTGGGAGCCCTGGTATTCCTTGAAAATGCATACCTTTCCCAGCGTGAGGGACATGGACCGTGCTGTGCGAGGGACCCCGTCTTCTGCAGCAGGAAGGAACAGAGAAGAGAACGCAGGTAAGTTTTCAGAGTAGGCTCCGGCAGGAAACAGATAGGCAGAAACTAAGCCAAGGTATCTATGGGCCAGAACTGGCCCTCAAGGGCCTAGGCACTGAGGACACTGAGTTTGACCTTTCACCCTGTGAGACGATCATCTGCAGAGGGGGTACTTTTTTGGACAGAATCTTTATCCTAACTCCTCTGGGCTCTATGAGAAGCCCCAGTCTTGACCTCTGATCTCCACCTGACACCAGTGCACAGTCTCTGGGTAATACCCTGGAGAGTGTGTAAAACTGCTCGTAGCAATACCAAGGCTCATTGGGTCATTTCTTGCTCATCCAAGGGAGGTACAGTCAGGGAAACGAGAAGCGAGGAAGGTGCGGGGTTGATAGAGAATGGAAACCTGTTGACAGAAGTTGTTTCAATGTGTCACCTACAAAAAAAGGAAAGCAGCACCTTAAGATTTCCCTCTCCTTAGTACATACATTAAATGATAGAGTTCACCTAAAATGTTTAGCAACACACCTGGATAATACTGCCACCAGAAAACATCAATATGTGTAGAGAAAGGTTTTTTTGTGCATGTGTCTATGAGGAAGATTAGCCCTGAGCTAACATTCAATGCCAATCCTCCTCTTTTTGCTGAGGAAGATTGGCCCTGGGTTAACATCTGTGCCCATCTTCCTCTACTTTATATGTGGGACGCCTGCCACAGCATGGCTTGATAAGTGGTACATAGGTCTGCGCCCGGGATCTGAACCTGTGAACCCGGGCCACCGAAGCGGAGCGTGTGAATTTAACCCCTATGCCACCGGGCTGGCCCCTAGAGAACAGTTTTTGAAAGCTCAATTCACTTTGATTCAGTTTCACCAATGTCACGTAGCCTGTATAACTGCCTATCCCTGATATCTATGTATTTTAGGTATGTCTCTTAAAAAGCACTTGGTTGATTTTTTTTTCCTAATCTAATCTGAGATTTGATATTAACCAACAAGTTTAAGCTGTTTATATTTCTTGTGATTATTGATATATTTATACCTTCTTATCTTGTATTTTCTATTTACCTTGCTTCATTAATTGATATTTTTCTAACCACCCCTCCCACAGCCCACGTTGGTTTGGAAGTAGTACATTTTAGTTCTAATCTTTAGTGTGCTCCTTACATTTTTAACATATTATATGACTTTAAAATTAATCAAGATCTCTATTCTTTTCTTGAATAAATCTTAAAACAATAACTCCCTCAAATCTTAAATTATACCATTTTTCAGTATTTTTATTTCACCTTGTTTTTGTAATCCCAGATTATTTATCATGATTGTTGTTTTATAGAGTGAATGATTTTTAGATTTACGCACATTTACAAATGTCTTTGCTCATTATTCCTTCTTGCATTCTACTTTATTTTGATCCCAATTTTATCTTTCCCTAAGTACATCCTTTAGTTTTCTTTTGACAAGAGTCTGTGAGAGGTAAACTCTCTCAATTGTTGTCTCAAAATATCTTTACCTAGCTGGCAATCTCTCATGATAGTTTAGCTGGTTACATTATCTCTAGGTTGACCGTTATTTCCTCTCAGCTCTTTAAAGACTTTACCTCTTTGTCTTCTGGTACAATTATTGAGAACTGACATTCATTTTTAAGTAATCTGTCTTCTCTCTCTGGTTACTTTTAAGATCTTCACTTTGTCTTTGCTCCTCTGTTTTTGTTTTTTTGTTTTTTTAGGGGGGAAGATTGGCCTCGAGCCACATCTATTGCCAATCTTCCTCTTTTTCTTTTTTCTCCCTAGAGCCCCGGTACATAGTTGTATATCCCAGTCGTAGGTCCTTCTTCTATGTGGGATGCCACCTCAGCATGGCTTGATGAGTGGTGAGTAGGTCTGCACCCAGGATCTGAACTGGTGAACCCCGAGCCGCCGAAGCAGAATGTGTGAACTTAACTTCTTTGCCACCAGGCCTGCCCCTGTCTTTGCTCTTCTGCAGTTTCTCTTGATGTGTTTTTATTTCTCTTCCTTGGAATTCACTGTACTTTCTGAATCCAATGATTTATGTCTTTCTTTAGATTTTCAGATTCTGGAAAATCCCTTTGAACACTTTCTCTCCCCCATTTTCTCCTTACGGATCTCCTAATAAATGTATTTGGAACTTTTTCATTCTATACTCCATATCCCATATCTTACAATGTTTCTTTCATATTTTTAATCAATTTATCCTTCTGAACTGCATTTTGGGTAACTTCCTCAAATCTATCTCATGGTTAACTATTTTTCTTTGACTTTGCTCAACCTGATTTAAATGTTGTACCAATCAGGATAAGCTAGGTATGCTAGAATAATAAACAACCCCAAAGTCTTAGTGGCTTATAACAAAGATTTATTTCTTGCTTATGCTACATGTCCATTTGCTTCTGAGTTGGCAGCTGGTTCTGCTCTGCATTTCCTCACTCAGGACTCAGACTAATGGAGCTTCTACTATTCTGGAGCAGTGATGATTGTGACATCAGGAGGAAGAAACATAGGGCAAATTGCACACTAGTTTCTGAAAGGCTTCAGCTCAAATGTCACACATGTCCTACTCACATTTTATTCGCTATGCCACATGGCCTCACCTAACTTCAAGGGGTTGGAGAAGTGTGCCCAGAAAGGGGAGATTGGGAATACTGACGAATAGCGTCAACTGTAGTAACAACACACCTAAACTACTGAGTTTTTAATTTCCATGACTCTGGTCCTCATTTCTAGGAGTTCTATTTTATCCTTTTTTGATAATTGTATTCTTTTAATCTTATGTTTTTGATTCATTTTTTATACTTCTAATAATTTTAAACATATCTTTTTAAAAAATTTGTCAGGCTGTTTTACTATCTGCAGTCCTTCAGGATATAATCCTGTTGTTTGGTGTGTCTGATGATTCTCACTCATGGTGGATTGTTTTCTTGTGTATTGTATAATTCTATACTGTGAATTCCTCTTCAGTGAGGTTATTTAGAGGAATCCTGTGTGTCCTGGGTGGAGGATGTCTCTCTCCAGAGTGGCTTTATGTTTGTTTCTGGCAGTGTTCCTAGAGGCACCATCGTGCCTCTGGTCTTTTCAGATTCTCTGCATACTGCAGCATCACTTCTGTGGTGCGTGTCTTTTTGGGGAGTACACTTCTCCTATGGGGAAGGAGAAAGTATTTTCTTCCTACTACAGCCTGGGGTGAAACAGTCAAACTTCCTTGATTTGTTTCTCCACTGTTTGGTGAGTGTTTTTTGCGCGTCCAAATTCTGTCTAAAGATGCAGTCCTTGGAAAATCTTAACTTTCTAGGAGAGTCTCAGAGTCAGCTCTCTGCCATGGATGTTCGAGGCCTCCTCTCAGACTGCATGCGAGTGCAAAAGCCCGGAGCCCAGATAACTGAGGCTGACTCCTGGCCCCAAGGAAGCTGCAGGGGCAGCTTGGTTTCAGTTCTCTTTTCTTTTCCTGTATCTGAGTATTTCAATTGCTTTTCTTGTAGATTCAGCTTTTCTTTTAGACTAATGTTTGCTTTATTTCATCCAGCAGAAATTTCTAAGTGTTTGCGGTCAAAGGATTTTCAAGTTTTCCAGTCAGCCAAAACAGCAGAACCAGAAAATATTCTTTATATGTGAGGAGTTCATACAAATTAATAAAATATCGATCTTACAACTGGGCAAAAGATATAATTAGAGAATTTACAAAAGTGGAAATATAGATGTCCAATAAACATTTGCAAAGGTCAATAATTACAAATTAAAGCTATGAGATGAGATACAGCTTTGACCCATCAAAGTAAAAAATATTCTTGAAAAGAGAGGAGAAGAATGTCAATGGCACAATAAATGGAGCATCATTATAACCCATTAAATGTAAATATCAATGAGCTATTTGAAAATAACTTTCTTTAAGAGCTGTATAAGTATTTCTTTCCCTTAAACTGGTATTTATACTTCTAGAAATCTATCTTAACGAAATAATCCAAAACGCACTCAGTACGTTTCATAGTCAGAAAAAAAAGAATAGGTCTTATATTTTTCTTTGAAATGTGTACCACCTTTCTTGAAATTAGAGATACTTTTCTTTCACTGTAGTCTTCAGAGTCTTAGGCATAGACCAAGTTTGCCAGAATTCAAATAAAGGCTTAAAAACCAAGCACTGTCAGGGAGCGGTCCCAGAGTATCTGATGGACACGCCTGGTGGGTGGGTGCTGGCCTCTCCGCACCAGCCCAAGCTGAGGTAGGGTGTGGGAAAACAATGGAGTGGGAACAAATGTCTGAAAACCACTCATTCACTGTTCACGACTCAGCTACGGTCTCCCTTCCTATTGTCAGCACTTTCCGATCCGCCCAGACTGAATGTGGAATGCTGCAGTTGCTCCCCATGGAAGTGTGCTTACTTCTGTCATTGGTTACATTGCCCTGCCTTTCCCACATGTTGGTTGGAAACTGTGTGCCTCTATATTCCAGTATCATGTGAGGCACACCTAACGTGCCCAATAAATGCTGTAGAATGAATGAATGAGACTCATGGGTAACTGTGCTCATTCCATAAATCTTGGGTAAGGAGGTTCGCAGGAGACCTCGCACCTTGCAGGACAATAATGCAAGATCCCACGTGTTAGGATTTCTTTGGTGGCAACTTCCCCAGCTTCCAACACTGACAGGGAGGTTTGTCAGAGGCCCAGACGCATGTGGGTCAGGAGCCTTGCTGCCAAGATCCCAGGCAGACAGTCTGCAGCGTGTGTACACTGCCTCCAGACTCTGGGAAGCATCACTGATATTCCCCAGGAAACTTGTGAAACCTCCTGTTTATAAAGGTTTCTCCGTCTGTTATACTTTCTGTACTTTCCCTCCTCCTGCTCTTGGTAACACGGATGTTTGCATTCCACAGGGACTCCTGTCACTAAAAGGTCTGTTTTCTCCTACTAATACCACCCTTGTCAGTCAGGCCCAACCCTGGCAGCTCCCAAGGAGAGATCCTGGTCCGAGGCACCGTCCTCCTCCTCCTGAACCACTGCAGGAGCCACTTAACTCGTCTCTCTAGGCCTCAGCGACTACACTGCCTAACGCATTGCTCACTCTGACATCAGACAAATCTTCTAAAACTAAAATCTGACCATGTCAGGTGGCATGAACTCACCAGAGACTCCTCATTGCCTAGAGGACAAAGGCCCAAATTGTTAGCGTGGCCTGGCACGTGGCCCTGGCCTACCAAGTCTCGCCTTCAAGTTGACATCATCGCACCCCAACATTGCAAGCAAGTCAAACTGCTTCATATTCTCACCCCAAACTCCACACCTTTGTACGTGCTGTTTCGTCCACCTGGGATGCATTTCTCCCTCTTGCCTGGAGAACTCCTATTTTTACTTTAAAACACTGCCCAGATGCCATCTCTCTGTAAAGCTTTCCTTGATTCCCTCAAGCAGAATCAGATGGCTGCTCCTCTGTGTTCCTATAACAATCTGTATAGAATGCTTTTTAAAAAAGAGTATTTTTTTTAAACATTTGTGTTCCCCACGAGTCTGCTATTTATCGCAGCAATGTCTCCTTTAGCCAGGCTCTCACTCGGCCCCCAATGCCTAGACCTCATCTCTCACCTGGGCTGTTGTAATAGCAGCTTCATGGGTTTCCCTGTCTCTGGCTTTGTCCCAGTCATGTAACCGCCACACCATAATCAGAGGGAATCTTCTAAACATATATGATTGTGTCATTTCTCCAATCGAAATCTTTGGTTGGATCTCTAATGCTTTCCAGGATAAAGTCCAAATTCCTTAGCATGTACTGCCTAGCAGGGGCCCCTAAAGCACAAAGACTATAGGGTCTGGGGTCTGTCATCTCACAAAGTAGAGTGAGCTCTTGCCGCCTGTGGGCTTCGCACCAGTGGTCAGAGGCTCTGGTTAATTGTGTCAGGAGTCGCTATGCGTCCATGCGTGTTTTCTGGTTCCAGGCCCCCAGGCTCACTGGAGCAGTGCTGCGAGGCCCCTGTGGGCAGCGCTGGGCAGAGGCAGTGAGCCTCGCTCAACCTGAAGCAGGTCCTGGAGCTGCCCTGATAGGGTGATTCTATCCTAGAGCCATCAGGGACCCACACTGAGGGGCCAGGATGGGGCAGGAGCCCAGTTCCTTACCGGAGGTGCCGCAGCTGCGGCTTGAATTCTGATTTGCAAGTTTTTTAAACTCCATGAGCTCTGCATGGTCCTTCTCATACGTCCTCTTCAGATTCTCCACATACTGCATCATCACCTCTGTCGCCTTTGACATGCGCTTTTCCTGCAGAGAAGGAGAGCATGAGTGCATGGCGCAGTTGGAGAAAAGGCTCATGGGCACTTGGTGTCTCTGAGTGAGGCTCTGGGCTGGGAGAATTGAAAGGATACAGGGACCAATCAGATGTGGCTCTGCCCTCTAAGAGTCTGCTGTCCACCATGGGGATCAGACACCTGCACTCAGGGAGAACAAGAACGAGCACAGCCACAGAGCGCAGGGGATGAGGGGTGGGAGAGAGGCATCTCTGCTTGCAGACAATGGGCTGGGGAGGCTTCCTGGAGATGGAGTGAAGTGGAGGTAGGGCGGGGGCAGCAGACAAAGAGCACTCAAGCCAGGAAGTCCAAGAGCAAAGGTCCAGGGGCAGGACATCGCAGGGCTTGTATCTGGGTGAGGATTTATCCTCCAGGCAGGAGTCTTTGGAGAGTGAAAGGGGGTGCTATTAAGAGTTATGCTGGGGGGCCGGCCCTGTCTCGTAGTGGTTAAGTTCGCGTGTTCCACTTCAGCAGCCCGGGGTTTGCAGATTCAAATCCTGGGTGCTACCGACGCACTGCTCATCAAGCCACACTGTGGTGGCGTCCCACATACAGAATAGAGGAAGATGGGCACAGATGTTAGCTCAGGGCCAATCTTCCTCAGCAAAAACGAGGAGGATTCACAAGAGATGTTAGCTCAGAGCCAGTCTTCCTCACCAAAAAAAAAAGAAGAAGAAGAAGAAGAATTATGCTGGGCTAACAGGTGTATACCATGACTGTCTGGTAAACCAGGAAAGTACAGGTCATACTACGTGTTTAAGAATCAGCTAGTAGTTGGGTTTCTTCGCAAAAAAATAGGTAGTTAGGGTTGGGTTGTGAAGGATCTTGAATGCTAGACTAAGGAATTTGGACTTTTTCTGAAGGAAAAGGGGAGCCATCGAATGTCTTAAAATAAGGGAGTGACATAGTCAGGCCCCCAGTGGATACTGGACTGAAGGGAGTGAGAGCAACAGGAAAGAGAAGCCAGGTGCCTGAACCAGTCTGGAGGAACCAGAGAGAAAGGAGGGGACTGAGATGGAAGCTAGGGGTGGGGAAGCCATTTGGAGGAGCCTGAAGACTGCAGTGGGCAACGCATGGGCTGAGAAACACGTGTGGGAGGCTGCAGAGAATGAGGGAGTTTTCTCTGCTTATACTCGTTGGATCCCTCAGAGAGCCCAGCCCAGGCCTGCCTGGCCACAGAGGGACATGCTCAGTCACCATCCCTGGAAAAGTTCCCTGCAGCCGTGAGCCGAGACCAGCCACTGCCCTCACGCTCTCCCTTTGTTGCTGGTCCCAGCTGGAGTGACTTCCTGGGTGCCGCTGCTGAGTCAGGTGCCCTTTCGCCGGAAGCACACAGGGGTGGGACAGGCCAGCAGCTTGTCCTTCCTTCATTCTACAAGAACTATTGGGGGTTGTGCCCCAGGACACCCCAATGATGCAACCGATGCAGCAGGACACGGCTCCATGGTAACAGCAGCAGTGGTAATAACATCGAGGTGCTTAACAGGTATGACAGCACATTATATGGTAGATACGATCATCATCTGTATTTTACCATTGGAGAAGCTGGAGCACAGAGAACTCGGGAACCTGCCTGAGGTCACACAGCGAATGCTGGTGGAGCTGGGATCAGGCTTCAGGCAGTCTTACCCCACGACACCATCCTGGATCAGGGCGGCGCCTGGGGTGCTTCAGGGCATCAAAGTGGCTGAGAGGGAGCCAGCTCTGGGCCTGCACCCCAGCTCTGCCTCTCACGAGTGCTACTACCTTTCCGAGACTTCATGTCTTCATCAGGGGATAAGGATGTTTACTTTATGGGGTGGCTGGGAGGAATAAATGAAACAAAGCAGTTTTTCCTAAAGCATGTTTTGCCAAATATTAGTTCCATGGGAGCTGAATAGGTATTTTGTGAGAAAAATAAAAGGAAGAGATGGTTCTTCGGTCAAATACACTTGGGAAATCCATAGATAAAGTTAAACAGGCCTCTTTACCATAGGGCTTCCTAAAGCCTTGATCATGCCAATATGTATAGAGATCTCCAAGAAAGGGAGGTGGTACGCAGCAGTTCCCAAACTTATGTGTCCACAGAAAGCTTTTTCCAAGGAGCATCTCGAGGGTCTAACGGTCCACCAAATATACTCTGAGAAAATCACAATAATGTACACAGGATGTCTGGCACAGAGGAAGCCACCAATAAGTGGCATCTGTGGCTGTCGCCGCTTACATTCTTGCTCTGGTTACTGCGGGCGGAGTGGAGCCAGTCCGCAGGGCTGGGGGCTGGCGAGCTCACCTGGCGGACGGCGCCCACCATCTCTGCTCGGCTGGAGAGGCGGGCAGCCAGGCGGTGCAGGACAGCGATGTCCTCCAGCAGCTTCTCGTAGGTCTCCCGGTGCTCACAGTGGTGCCAGAGCGAAGCTGAGGACTGAGGGGCGAGAAGGAACGTCACCTGGGGTCCTCACGTACCAAGACTTGACTTGGGCTCTCACAAGACGAACCCTGGTCCCTGTCCTGGCTGAGAGGAGTGGCCTCTGCGGGGCCCAGGCTACAGCTTCTGCTGGGAACTGGAGTGCCCAATGTGGACACTCTATGCCTGGCTGGCCTAAAAGGAGGGACTCACATCCGGGTCTCTTGTGCCCAAGGAGCTCCCTTGGCTATCTTAGGTCACCCAGCCCCGTGCTGAGAAGCCCCCACAGGCTCAGAGGACTTAGCCACAGCCCCGAGGTAACCAGGCCTTCAGGATTTCTGCCTCAGCTCCTCCCAGCTCTCTGAGGAAGACTATCTGGCTCAGGGGCTTGGCCTGATTTCTCATTTTGAGAGATTCTACTTGATGCCTGAGAAAAGCAGGACCCCCGGCATAGCCCTCAGAGACCGTCCCTCCTCCCCGGATTCCCCAGTCAGGCTCCACAATTACCGTAATGGAAGCTTTGAAGTTTTCCAGTTCCTTCTCTGTGTTCTCCTCTGTCAGGTTGCGTTCCCTTTCAGCCTGGTTAATTCTAGATTCCAGGGTGTAGCTGTCATTTCTAAAGGCCAAGGACAGTTGTACAAACACGTTCTGTTGGGAACAAGAGTGTGGGAGAGGCGCTAGGAGGAGTCACTGCCGGGAGCAAAGCTACAGGTGTCATTCTTGTACGAGCTTTTTCCGTCAGCTCCTGAAACCAGTCGCCAAAGCAGCCATGTGTAAGTGAAACTCTCCCTTCACAGTCAACTGCACAAAAGATGGTGAAATAGTAACCCGAGGCCCATGCTAGGTCCTTCCCAGAACAGAAGACCAAATGCGTTTTACTGAAAAATAATGAAAGAATAACACTTCGCTTTTCCCTGAATTTCAAGAAAATAACATCCTGTATTTGCGTTTAGATAAACTCAGGCCAACGCAGCTGGTTGTGTAAGCAGTTTGAATTCGTGCTAGGATTTATTGCACGTGGGTTTTGGAGGTTTCACATGAAACCACTGTATTGAAAGAAAATTTGAGAGGTAAGCCTGGTTGACTTAAAGCAAATTCAACCAGCATCTTGCCTGAGTATTCTAAATCCTACGTTGAAAGCAGCTATAAGAAGCTACCAGGAGATTAAATAAGACCAGGTATGACTCTGTTAGGAGAAGCTTTCTGGAAGAAATATTCCATGCAAAAATGCAGGCTGCATGAATGAACTTTGAAAGGTAGTATATTGATCAGACACGGAATTCCTGGAATAACAGGAAACTAATGGGGAGGAGAAATAGAGAGACGGACTCTACACAGGGAGGAAGCAATGGTCTTCATTTTTACAGCCTTCATCTGCCCTGCCTGAGTCAAGTGGTAGCAGATTTACATCCTTGGGGTGAGCTAAGTCTGCCTGAGTTTCTGAAGTTCATGTAACACGGCCATGGTAGGCAGACATCTCCAGACAGAGAACTGAAGGCCCTGAACTGAGCCGATAATGATGATGATAGCAATATTGAAAGCTACTCCTTATTGAGGACCAGCTATCTGCCAGCACTGCTATGAGTTTATGCACCTTAGCTCATTTAATCCCACAATAACCCTCTGTGATAGGAACTGCTATGTCCACTTTAGGGGTAAAGAGACCGAGACCAGAGAGGTCATTAACTTGTTCAAGGCGACACGGGGAGTGGCAGAGCCAGGACTCAACCTCAGACTATCTGATTCCAAAGCCTATGCCGCCTTCACCACACTAAGCACTGATCGCATTTGTATACGTCTGAGGACAGGAGCCAGCCGTTCAACAAACCACCCACGGCCCATCCTCACCAATGTCGGTGGGTGGGCATCCTCTGTCCTCAAACCTCAGGCCAGTTAAGTTTATCAATAATGCTCACTGTTTAGTTCTCTACACCTGGGTTATCTCCTCAATGGCATTGGGACAGAGTCCTGAATTCACTAGGAACACCTGTGTGCAAATGTTGGCTCTGCTAAGCACTGGGTCTGGGACATTGGGTAACTTATTTAATCACTCAGTTTCTTCCTTTTTCTAATTCCTGCTCTACCTGCTTCTCAGAGCTGGTGGGAGGATCAGCAGAGAGGCTGGATATGAGCGTCTTATGAACTGCAAGTGCAATGTCTGTGTGCAAGGTAATTGTTACTACCTGTGGCAGATATTTCACATTGTCTTCCTCTGCTTATGTGGTCCACTGGGTCTCAGGAAGCGTATGTTCCTTTTCTTGTTATCCATGGCAAGCCATGCTATAAAGACTATAAAACCTTCCATCCTCTCAACCTGAAGTGAAGAGATTCTGGAATCATCCATGTTCTTGCTCCCTTCCTTCTATCAACTCCAATGGAATTGTCTTGGAAACAAACTTGTGCTGGCATCAGAGGTCCTCCCCGGCTCGCCTTGGACGCATTCTCTTTGTCCATCTACCCCTTCACCAGAAGGAAACCAAATTCCTCTCAGCTCACTTACCACCCCATGGGGACAGCAGTTCTACAGAGACAAGGAAGCCCCGAGCGGAAGCAACAGGGGATCAGGAAGGCTGGAGAGCTGACAGCACAGCCTCCCGCCTTGGCTGAGCTAGCTTTGCTAGGTCTGAAACCCTCAGACGGGAAGCACCTTCTTCCTCCAGACTTCCTCCAAAGTTTGAAACTTGAAATCTGACCATCTTTTAATAACTTTGAAATAAATTTAATTCAAGTCTACAGCCTCCCAGCTGACTTTGTGTATCTAAGTCATACTTTTAAAGAACATACACAATCTTTGAAGGAATGTGGAATTTCCAACTACCTTCTCGTCTCTGACCAAATCTGTCAAAATCTTCCATTAACTGTGGTGGGGGATCTCAGAGGTTCAATAGGGCTGACCACGACATCCATATTACCCCACAGTCACTCATTCTCATTTGTGTGTAAAAATGTCAGGGCAGAGGCTGGAGAAGGGAATGTTTTGAATAAACCAGGCACTAAATTCCATAAAGCGCTGGAGTTACTTACCTCAACTTCCTTTTCAGTGAGCGGGGGAGCACTGCGAAAAAGAAAAGACACGCTGATGAACGTCTTCCAACCTATGAAATAAACTAAAAGGTGACTTCGATGAACCAGCAGACCATGTGTTTCTGGGAATGGAGTAAGCTGAGTTGGTGAGATGGAAAAGATACAGGGTACCCTTGTGTGAGCTCTGTAACTCATGGGATATTTGTCCAGATATTGACGCCCAGAGGAAGTGTGGTGGAAAATATTAGATCCTGGGGTCAGTCCTCCGCCAGTGCCTCTACTGTCTGTGACTTTGGGCAAGTTATTTAATCTATATGTGCTCATCTGTAAAATGGGAATAATATTATCTACTTTGCAGGAGTCTTATAAGGAATATACATATGTATGCATGTATATATATGTATAAATACATATGTGTGTATATATATTCACATATATATGACACTCACACATGCATTTGTGTATGTATATATGCATAAATATGTATATATGCATATATGTGTGTACGTACATATGTGGATGCACATAGACACCCACACTCAGTAGGCACTCCGGAGATGTCAACTATTATTATGACTAACTCACAGGCTTGCTGTGAGGACTTAATAAGAAAATGAATGAGCCATGTGCTTTATAAACTGGACACATCTGAGCAGCCATTGTAATTTTAGGGGGGCTACCCCGGTCTGCAAAGCCTGACCCTCCCGCTGACTCTGAGGGTTGTGACAAGGGTGCACGTGGAACAGAGAATACAAGGTAGGAGAGAGCAGCCAGAGCTCTTCTCCACAGTGAGAGCCTCCTCTGATGGCTGGAATCAGAGACGGGGCAAGACGGTCCCTGCCGGCACAGAGGTGTGTCCCTCTGAGAAGCTCCTTGTCCTTTTGTCTGCATACTCGCTCTGTGCTGCTGCCGCTGCCGCTCCTGCTGGTAACTAAAGCCAGCCTCATTCTGAAACCCACAACATAAATACTGCTCGGGCCCTTTCCTGTGCGGGGCTGGAAGGACTGGGAGGGGTCCCATCAACGTCACAGAACTTGGCAATGGAGTGTGCTATCGATAAGATTCTCAGGAAACACAGCTTCCTCTCTTTGACAGGTGTGGAGGGACCACGAGAGCAAAGGTAGGGGTCAGCTCTGCCTGCGAGGGGCTGGTTCTCACCCCTGACAAGGGGCTGTGAGAGCCTTCCTGTCAGGATGAGGCATCAAGAACCCACGCCCATCAAGTCAGCAGAGTGTAGAGCACGGGATAAACAACAGCAAAGATGTTGATGCTGAAAGTTCTCGTCACACCCCCCTGTCTGGCCCTTTCCTCTGCGGGCCGGCCAGCATCATCTCAGCTGTCACAGAGAGCATGCATATTGCTTAAACGATTTATCAAAGCTCCCTCTGCTTGTTTTTGACTCCCAGCTTAGTTTGGATATCATGCGAAATTTACACCTTTCCATCAATTAACCAAACTTATTTTTCCATACTGATGACTCACTTTCTGCTTTTTTTGCTATAGAACATGCTTTTAAAAAATATATACAAAGCCCTGAGGACTCAGGGAGGTGTAATTTAGGTATAAAGCCATATGACGTGGCCAGCTCCTGATGCAGAGAACTATGCCTTGTGAACTGGCAAAGGCAGCCAAGGGGCCGAGCCGCGGGCCTCCAAAAAGACAGAGGCCTAGCAGATGATGTGCAAACAGACCACTCTGGATAGCGTTGCCTGCCTCAGAATTCAAACTCCCTTAATAGGTCTTAGAATAAAACCAAGGCATTCTGTGAGCTGGCCCCTTCCAGACTCCACTCTCCAGCCACAAGGGCTATTCTACTCCTCAAACACACTTACCTCATTGTGGCCCCAGGACCTTTGCATTACTGTTCTTCCCTTTTTTCCCACTCTGTTTTGTAACAGCTTTATTGAAATATAATTCACATACCATAAATATCTACCCTTTTACAATTTATAATTCAGTAGTTTTTAGTATATTCAAAGAATTGTACAACCATCACCGCAATTTTAGAACTTTTTCATCATTCCAAAAAGAAACCCTGTACCCATTAGCAGTCACTCTCCATCTCTCCCAACCCCCAGCCCCAGCCCTAGGCAACAACTAATCTACTTTCTGTCTCTATGGATTTCCCTATTCCGGAGATTCCATGTAAATGGAATCACACAACGTGTGGTCTTTTGTGGCTGGCTTCTTTCACTTAGCCTAATGTTTTCAAGGTTCATCCATGTGGTAGCATATATCAGTACTTCATTTTTATGGCTGAATACTACCCATTGAATGGATACATCGCATTTTATTTATCTGTTCATCAGACATTTGGGTTGTTTCTACTTGTTAGTGATTATGAACAATACTGTTATTGAACGTTCATGTGCAAGTTTTTGTGTGGTCATAGATTTTCATTTCTCTTTGTTTTATACCTAGGAGTGGAACTGCTGGGCCATATGGTAACTCTACGTTTAACTTTTTGACGAACTGCCAAACTGTTATTCCAAAGTGGCTGCACCATTTTACTGAGGATTCCAATTCCTCGACACCATCACCAACACTCATTATTGCCCATGTTTTTTATTATAACCATTGTAGTGTATGTGAAAGTGTATCTCATGGTAGTTTGGAGTTGCATTTCCCTAATGATTAATGATGTTGAGCATTTTTTCATTTGCTTATTGACCCCTCATATATATTCTTTGAAGAAATGTCTACTTAAGGCCTTTGCCCACTTAAAAAGATTAGTTATCTTTTTATTGAGTTATGAGGTTCTTTATACATTCTGGAAACAAGTCCCTTATTGCATACGTGATTTGCAAATATTTTCTCCTGTTCTGTGGGTTGTCTTTTCACTTTCTTGATGGTCTTGTTTGCATCACAAAAGTTTTCAATTTTGATGAAGTACCATTAATTCATTTTTTCTCTTGTTGCTTGTGCTTTTGGTGTCATATCTAAGAAACCATCATGGACTAACCCAAGGACACGAAAATTTGCTCCTATTTTCATCTAACAGTTTTATAGCATTAGCTCCTACACTTAGGCCTATGATGCATTTTGAGTTAATTTTTGGGTGTTGTGTGAGGTAGAGTTCCAACTCGACTCTTTTGCATGTAGCTATCCAGTCATTCCAGCACCATTTGTTGAAATCGCTGCTCTTTTTGTCTGGAAATCTTTTCACCAAAATCTTTGCCTGGATGGCTTCTTTTTGTCATTTGCATGGCTCAGATTAATTACTACTCTATCATAGAGGCCTTCCTTCACCCCCTACCCAATGTTCCATTCCCATGTCATTCTCTGTATGTGCCTATTTCCTGGTCTTTCTAGCAGCTTTGCTGTCTGAAATCATTCATTTGGTTACTTGGATATTATTTGTCTCCGCACCTAGAATTTAAGTGCCATCAGAACAGAGACTGTGTCTGCTTGTTCTCGATTCTGTCTGGCACATAATAGGCACCCAATGAATATTTCTTGATTAAATGCCCGTTTATTGCTTATGTTGGTGTTTGGCTTCAGCTACCTTATCCAGTGATATTTCCTCTTTGCCCTCGTTAACCAACCACTGACCATGTCCCTAATTTGGGTTCTAGACCTCGTTTTTCCACTGAACCCATTCCACTTGCTGACCCTATGAGCTCCTTTTCAGTACTGTCTGATCCCAATTTACATAGTCTACATAGAATATGAAACCAACGCCTTCTTCATATTAAAACTCAAGTGTAATCTTCCCATATTTTGCTGGGGAAAGAATCTTGAAGCTCTGGCTTTCTTCTGTTGGATGACATCTTAGACAATTTGTCAATCTATCCCAAGCCCCAAACCAGGGCTAGAGGGTGCTAAGCCCAACCAAGGGCCCAAGTTGGAAATAGGCTCTACTGAGGCCAGGAGCAGGGAGGCTGGTTTGGTGGTTGGAGCAGGGAGGTTGGGGATGGGCAATGTGGCTATTGACACCTGCACGAGAGCCTCTGACCCCAATCTCAGAGCCTGGACCACATGCTTCAGAAGCTGATCTTATCTGTTGACCATGACGGCCCAGCCTGTCCTCATGGTTGGTAGCTAGCTGATGTTAACTTACTCAAGGAAGATAGAACTGCTCAGTCTCCCTCTGCTGGGGAAGCTGGGGGAATTTAATTAGCTGGAGGTGTCCCCTAATCATATTAATTATCTTCAACTTCACCGAGGAAAAAGAAGCCGATCACACTTGTGACCAGCCTTGTCCTTGCAGGCTGAAGAGCACCGATGATCGTTTTGGTATTTGTGACAGGCCCCTGGTATAGACGGAAAGCATTAGGTCTGGAATCAGCCCACCCTGAGTTTAGTTCCTGCCTCTGTCGCTTGCTAGCATGTTGCTTTGCTTCTTTGTTCCCTCACTGAAGACAAACAAAATAAAATCTTCCTTTTCTGCCTCCCTGGGTTGCCACGAATACCAAAAGACACACAGCATGTAAACATCTCTGTATCTTGCAGCGCACTTGGGGTGCTTCTCTTTTGGTTTCCTGCCTCTGGACACCCCTCTCTACCTTCCACGAGGTGAACCGGCCCAGCCCACGCCCTCCTCCAGCTGTGAATACAGCCCACTCTGACTTGTTTCTAGCACTTTTTCTGATATTAGTTTAGTGACTAGGTCCCTTTGAGTAGTGCCCTGATGACTCTGTGTTTTAGGTGATTACAGTTTGAAATTTGAACACATCACACCCACTGGGCAGTAAACTTGTTTTCCTTTCATATTTGCCCCAAATCGGGGAGCTCTGTTGGGCCTGACTGCTCCTCCTAATAGCCTTTCCCCTGCAACAGTTCAGTCTCCGGGTTGCTGGGCTTGGCGGGAGGCCTCACCTGCAGGGACCCAGCCAATCCCAATTGCTAGCTGGTACCCTCTCTTCTCTCCCTTATACTCCAAACGGTTTACTTTTCAATCAATCCGGTTATCAAGGGCCTGTCCTGTGCTGACATGGTCCTAAGTCCCTGCTCACACACCATCTCCTTTAGCTAGCGCAACACCCCACTGACCACAGAGCACCTATGACCCCCGTTGTAAAGGTGAGGAGGCCGAAGCTCAGGAAGCAAAGTCGCTTTCTCCACATGTGTGGAGGAGCCTGATAGGTTTTCCAAGCAATCCTTCTTCATGTGGTTCCAAATGTTCTACATTCCTATCTACACAAATACCAGACCTAGAATCTCCCAGGTATAGGTTAATGGTGGATCTGGGATTGAAACCATGTCTCCTGGCCCAAACCCCACCACCCTCTGCTGCCCTGAGCCTCTGGTGACCCTCATGTCCTCCTATGATCCCCACCTGCTCTTTGCGGTGGGACCACCTCACCTGGCCCTTTCTTATTCTTTTTGTTTTGGATGCGTTAGCCCTGTCTGGACCATTGGACTTTGACCCTTCCGAGGCTGGTGCTCCTCTGTGTCCCATCTAGAATCTAGCCCATGGCCCACCCAATACTGGGTTTTCTGCAACCCATGCCTGCTTTTACCTTCCAGGGAGAGACTTGTGGACCCGCAGCTTGCGCAGCAGCACGTCAGAAATATTGGGCATGACATCGAAGCCACTCTTGGACTCTTCTTCCTCAGTAGCTGGGGAGAGTTCAGACAGGAGCCCTGGAAAAACAAGTGCTTAACTTAGAAAATGTCTGTTTGAGATCACAGTAGTACTGTTGGCAACTTGTTTCGGGGGCTAAGGAAGAGCTTTAACATTTATAAGAACCTAGTTACGTGCCAGGGGCTTTACAATTGTTTTATCCTCACAAGGACCCAATGAGCTAGAACTTAATCATCTCATTTTATAAGTGGGTAAACCAAGACTCAGCAAGGTTAATAACTTGCTTAAGTTCACAGAACTAGTAAATGGCATAGTGAGACTTCAAACCAATTCTATATGTTCAAAATTCTATGTTCTTCCGATTGCTCCCCACAGTACTAAGCAGGCTCTCCTGTCTGGGGTCCGAGGTTGGTTTCTGGCAACTGGAAGCTGATTGGCTCTTTGGCTATAATGTTTGGAAAAGTGCTCTCTCTTTGGCAGACTTCTCAGGAGGCCTGTTGCCCAATTATTCTTCCTCAAATGAATTCAACAGTTCAGTCATCTATGTCCTGCTGCTTATTTCAATAAACTCATCCCTAGAGCACCAGAAGAGCCCATCACCTCATTCGGAAGTGATGAATCCATCTCAGTGCTTTTTTAAAATGAAGCAGGTTTTCCATTAGCTGTGACCATCACTCTGCTAGAAATCAGTGTCTGGTTCCATATCCCCATAGATCGGAATAGAAACAGGGTTTTTTCAGGATAAAGATAAGATAGTTAGATCGTTTACAGATCTCAGAAATAGATGCCTCCTAGTCAACAGAACCAGTGAACAGTCTTTTGTTATCTCATAAATCTATTTCGGGTCTGTGCTCTGAAGGCAGAAAGAACAAACCACATATTCTGTTTCCCATAAATCTTTCTCCTATTTGAAGGCAGCTCTTGGTACCTCTCCAAATCTCCCCATCTCCAGGCTCTAGCCCTGTTTTCCCGACTGCTCACTGTGGCCCACTGTGGCCCATGGCCTCTAGATATCACCCCCTGCCTGCACGCATTCTGGTTGTTGCTGTTCCAGAGGCCCTGATGTGCTCTAACAAGCTCTTAGCAAAGGAGGACATTGGCAAATGTCCCTAGCATTGGTATTTGTTATTCATGCAGCATAGACTTGCTGTGCCTTCCTATGGGCTCACAGTACATTTAGCCTCAATTCTCTTTTACTTGAGCCAAATCAGGCATCTTCATCCCATATAATGGTTTCCATTTGTATGTAGGACTTTATAGTTATCCGTGTTTTACCATCTCTCCTGGATTTTGACCCAGTAGATTTCCAATCTGCTCAATCATTTTCCAGAATGGTAGGCCAGGCCAGAGATCAGGACTATAGGCATAGTTGTGGTAGCCATCTAAATGAAACTAAGGTTGGGTGTCATGTAAGCGAGAAGCCTCATCACAGGAGACCATGCAGAGAGAAGGCGGGGTATAGTTTGACTCAAGGTAAAGAATGGTTAAATAATTTGAGCTTTCCAATAACAGAATGGTGTTCATGAGTTTCCAGGTACTCAAGGTATCCCAGCAAAGCTGGAGGGCCATCTGTCAGAGATGGGGCAGTCAGTGATCCTTCCTTGGATATAAGATTGGACTAGATGTTCTCTTAGCTACCTGTCACCTCTTGGGTTCCTTCCTGGCATTTATTGCTCTCTGACATTTCCATGGGACAGATGGTAAACCTTGTGGTGCCTCTGGCCTCACTCTGCTTTCATGTATCTACACTGCACCCAGCAGAGAGATAATTGAGCAGTGGGCTCCTGAGAAATCTATATGATTGCTTGAAACAGATGAGATCTAAGAATCAACTGAAAGCCATACCAGGGGCTTTTGCCTAGAAGAGTCCCCTGGGTTGAGCAACACCCCCTGCCCAAGGTAACTAGTTAGGGCTTCTAGCCCTACTAAAATGGCTGTCTGAAGAGTGACCCCAGAACTGGTAGATCCCAGAACCAGCCACCTTCCTCCTCAACTCAATTTTTAAAACCAACCAAAAATATACCAGCAACTCTCAAATACAGGAAAAGGCAACAATCTTTAAAAATAATGGCCAGGGCTGGCCCTGTGGCTTAGGGGTTAAGTGCGCACGCTCCGCTGCTGGCGGTCCGGGTTCGGATCCCGGGCGCGCACCAACGCACCGCCTCTCCGGCCATGCTGAGGCTGCGTCCCACATACAGTAACTAGGATGTGCAGCTATGACATACAACTATCTACTGGGACTTTGGGGAAAAAATAAATAAATAAAATTATAAAAATAATGGCCAAAGAAAGACAGAACTTACTGGAAATAAATGTAGAGCTCCCACCCTTGATGACCCTTTTTCCTTCCCTCAAAGAATCAGTACTGAGAGGAAGAGTGAGAGGAAAAACTGTGACCAAGACTGCAAAACCACAGAATGGGAAGGAAATGGACTGAGCGGTGAGCAGGCAGCCTGCGGAGGAGATTCAGAAAGTTTCTCTACAGCAGAAGGATCTCCATCCCACCATAACAATCCTCCAACAAAAGAAAGCGGCCTCTGCCGCTCTTGGCTTTTCTTACTGAGGAGGAGGGGAGAGGAAAGGCAGAATGATTGCACAGTATTCTACCAGAGCTGATTACCTCAATCAGTATGGAGGGATTTACCAGAAAGGAAGACAAACGAGAAAATAAATAAAACAAGCCCCTCCGATGGAGTAAGTGGCGGGAGACACATGGAAATCCCCAACTGAAGCTGCCCCTCCCCATTCTGAGATATAGTACTGTGGCCAAACCCATTGGATTTTGTCTATCTTTTCCTTCCTCTAACTGGCAGTGGGGTGAAAGTGGCTGCTGGGAACAATTGGGTCAAGTCTGGAAAATAAACACCTGGGCAGATTGTATCTACAATTCAAGATTCCCTTGGGTGAAGTAATCCATAACTTACTATTGCCCACCCAATGGAATAAAATATGCCCACACTTTGGTGTAATAAACTCAAGTGTTGGACTATAAACAAAGTTATATAAAAAGAGCAGAAACCAATCCCACAAACACCACTATGCACAGCTCCATCTGAACTTCCCCTTTTCCTCACCGCCCAAGCAGTAACAAGGCAGACACAAAATACCCAGTCCTCAGCTAAGCACTGTAGGAGGAAGGAGATCTCAGATTAGGTAGGAAGGAGTCAGTGAAAATTGACCTACACAATACGTCTAGGTAAGGAGAAAATTCAGGTAGAAATGCCCACATCAAAAATTCTAAAAATTTAAAAAATGGCATTGTGACTATACAAAAATACTATCGTCTGAAGAGGAAGGAAAGAAGAAAGGAGGTATAAAGGGCAGAAGAAAGGAAACACGCAGGAGACAGATGTCAGGATGGAAACAAAGATGCAGGAAGCACACCAAAAATGCATTTTTGTGAAAAATGTATACCACAAATGCTTTGACTCAAGAAGAAATTAGAACTTGAAGAAAACGAAAATAGGAAATCAGAGGTGAGATGAGAGGATCATACATAGATGGAAGAAGACTACAATTTAAGGAAATAAATTGAAGACCAAAATAACAGAACTAAGTGAGAAATTATAAAAATATAGAACTAACCAATATGTTGGAAATATGAAGGAATAAAACAGATACAGCCTCAAACTGAATTAGTAAGCAGGGTGGGGGAGATTGAAATGAGTACAAGGAATGTAGAGAAGGAAAGAAAGACAGAAGTATTTAAAGGTAGGTTAACGGACCTGTAGTTGAGACATCGATGAGAAATCTGTGGATTATGGTGTCTCTGAAGTAGTGAACAAAACAACAAAGGACATACTTAAAGATATAATAGAAGAAAAGTTCTCCTCAATTGAAGGAAAATCTGAACTTGCAGATTGAAGGAGCACACATGTTAAGAAAAAAAATATATATATATGGATAAAGAAATGCTTCCCCAACTACCCTCACAGAAAGAGTCAGCCATCTACAGGGAATGGTGAGGGTTGAGGAACGCTGGAAATCAGCTGGTCTCAGACTTCTGTACAGCACTGAATACAATGGAGCATCTACAAAGTTCTGAGGGAAAGAGTGGCCCAGAATTTATAACCATGCAAGCGGTTCTTCAAGAATAAAGATAACATTTTCAAATGTGCTAGAATTCAGGGAACATAGCACCTCTGAGCCCTTCTAGGAAAACTATTGGATAATGAAATCCAGCTAAACAAGACATAAATCAAAATAATGAACTTGGGAATGATGAGCCATAGACGAGGGCCTAGTGGTGAGCATGAACTCCTTTTATATATAAGTTTAAGGCTAAACAACTATGGAAATTATCATTTCAGTATGGAATGTACATGCTGTAACCTTAACAATAGAAAAAGGATAATTTATCATTTGTACAGGTAGAGATGGAAAGGTAGGAAGAAATATGAAGGTGAGAAGAAAGGCTGCCATTCTCATCTTTTCCTGCTTGAAGTCATAATCCAAATTTAAAACATATAATGTAAAAATAGTACCTCGATAACTCCAAACCCTTAATGCATTTCATAATATATATTTTAAACTTTTAAAAACTAATCTTTTTTTTGGAGGAAGCAATTATCCAAATTCAACAAGTCCTACAGTTTCACTTCACTTTCATTCAAGTTCAATTAAATTTTAATAATTTTTATTTCAAAAAAGTGTATCTGGCAGTCTAGCATAATCTCTCTCCTTCCTCCCTCCCTCCTTCTGTATTTGGGGGGAAGGGCATATTCGATGTAAGCTATTTCTCCTTTCTTCTTTGTATTTTTTACTATTAGTTAAATTTTTTGGTAATGAACATGAGCTATTTTTAACAAAAGCAGTAAAATTATTTTTAAAATATCTGCTTGTACTAGCTCATTCCAACGAAAGCATTTGTTTCTGGCAATCTCAGGGACTTGGAAAAGGAACTTTTGGCACTTCTGGCTAAAGATGCTCTGAGCCCCAGGATGACCCCAATAAGGCCAAAGCTACTTGTTGGGGATAAACTTTCTTCAGATTGATCTTCTCAGGGAGGCCTTTTCCCTGCCTGAGACTGAGGGCTCTGGGCCCAGACTGGGGGTGTCTG